TGCCTAAAAAAATTTTACGAATTCGGTTTTAACCGAAAAAAAAAAGTCAGTTACTTAACTGCTGGGTGCTCGAGGGGGGGGGGGGGGGGGGATGGAGAGGTTGCTTGCTATTCAGTCACTATTGACCTAGTATCCACTTCCTTTCGCAGGCAGGTTTCTGGATCTGCCTTTGTAAGCTGAAAGAGGGTTCAACATTCTACAAGAACTTCAGGGGGTTATTGTTCCTATTGTACTGAGAGCATTATCTCTTCTTTTTGTGGTAGGGTTTTTTGTGGTTTTCAAGTGCGGGAGTTTGGGTATGGGATTACTGTGTACTGCAGAGGTACCCGGAAAAGCCCTCAATTAATTTTTTTAACATCCTCTCCCAAGCTTTTCTCTGGTTGAGGAGGGCATAAATACGATTTAATTATTGCTGTTTCTTGTAGTCTCTGCTCTGACAATTGCCAAGATGGCTAAAAAAAAAGTGTGCAGAAGATCACGCACGCAAATTTCGAGATTTTGAAGTGTGCTGTTCCAACGAAAACGGTAACGACGGCCACGTTACTGTCATCTACAAGTACTGTCGAACGACCATCAAATCAGATCAAGGCAGGGCCGCAGTACACCTAGCAGAGCACGTGAAGTCAGCTCGACACGCAAAGCTAAAAGCCGCGCACTCCGAACCTGGTAAGTGCAACTTATTTCATTCGCATAGCCTTATTACAGCTAAACAATGACGCAGTGAAAAGAAAATCCCTGCTCCTAGTGAACTTGCTATACATCTTGGAAAAAACATACTTTTTAAAAGTGTTGTTTGGGCAATAGAACGACTAACGCAATTTTCAACACAAAATAATATCATTGCAGGATGCTCCTCGGCGCAGCTTTCCCTTCAATCGTCCATAACATGGGCTGTCGAGAAGTGAAAAGACAAGGACGACATCGCCCACAACTCCTGCAGGTCCTTGCGCCAGGTGACAATCCCGCTGCACCAGACAAACGGCCCTTGGGATCCCTTTCGTTGGCACTGTCCAGCGGCCAGAACCATGCCAACATCCTCCCAGATGCACAAGAAATGCCTGCCCGAGGTATATAAGAGTAACGTAGCAGCAATCCAAGACTCCATCCGGGGCTTCACAATTGCGGTGACCCTTGACAAGTCCCCTGATCTCCGAGGACGCCCTGCTCTTGCTATGATGGCGACATTTTATGACCCTCCTTTACCAGGCAAGAACACACCCATGCTTGCTTTATAAGTGCTGCTTCAGTGTAACGCTTTAACGATGGACATGATTCTGCAAGAAGTTCTACTCAAGTTTCGTAATCGGCTCAATGGTGTTTCCATGCTTGTCTCAGATTCAGCAACCTACATGAGGAAGCTTTATAAAGATCTCTGTCAGTCAGACCTCGAGTCTGCTGGCTTCACTTAAGCGATGCCAATCACCTTCTCAACAACGCCCTTTCTGAAAGTCCCTGCTTGGAAGGTTTCGCATGCGTGCACGACTTTGTTATGCACCTCACTGCGATACTGAGGAGCTCTAGAAAGCTCCGGCGTAAATTCTATGCAATGTGCAAGTTCATGAACATGGATCTGAAGTTCCTAACAACCTTTTTTCCTACCAGATGGTTTCCTTTCCGCGAGTCGCTATGTGATGTCTTGACTACTGGCACCCTATTTTTGCCTTCTTGGAAAGTTGTGATGCGAAAGGCGAAAAACGCAAGTTGCTTCAGGCTATACTTTGGGACAGTGGAGCAGTGAAGGACCTCCTGATTAAGAAGAAATTTGTGAGAGAAAGGTCAAACTCGATTTCGGCCATCTTGAAAAAGGTAGAATCGGAGCACACGTTTGTGTGCGATAACTACTCCTCGCTCGTGAAACAGCTAGAAGGGATCTTGCAGGAGTGGGCTGAGGAGGATTGAGTCTATTGACATGATGCTGCAAACGTGCTAGACCTTGTGGACGAATAAAAATGGTCTGAACTCAGAGACATTTCAGTCAAACTGTAAGGTTGTGGCAAAAAAGTGGGACGACAGTGTTGTAAGGAACGTTTCAGGTAGCATGGCATACACCGCTGCACTGACAACATTTTGGTTTGATTGTGCGCATCATTGATCCAAATGTGAAGTCTGTAATGCCCTGCGATTTGTCATTGTACGAGAGCATCTTCGAACTTGCTATACGTGGTACTGATGCGATTCAAGGCTTACAGCCAGAGCTTTGTGAATGCTTGTAGTATGCTGTGATTGAAAACATGGTACCGGTTGTCTTTTGGCAATCACACTTGATTGATTGGCCAAAATTAGCTGCCGCGACACTTCGTATCCTTAGCTTGCCTGTCTCGAGTGAAATCGTTGAGAGGGCATTCTCTAAACTGAGGGTAATAAACAGAAAAGAGTGGGCACGCATTAATTGAAGAAAACCTGGGCAAATACATCTGTGCGTATTACCTATAATCAGATGCACAGTGGCTGTGCGGACTTGATATCTCACTCGCTTGTACTTGTGTAAGCATGTTTCTTCATTCCTGTTCCAGTTCGATGAATAAATATGCCATTTTTATACATGCCTTGCACCTACGTCACATGATGATGTCGAACATTGGTATCTACCATGCTGGTGGTTGACTCGACGGCCCTTCACAGCAAGAGCAATGGTAAACTGCGCCACGCTCGGCTGTAGCAATTACCCCGTATCCCGACGATCGCCCGATCATTTCGTCACCATGCCTGGCAAGACAGAGTAGCTGTCAAGTTAGAGACAGTACAAGCTGCAAGAAAGGGATGCGGCCGCGGATTATCGAGTTTGCGGGACGCATTTCACAGCGGCGAACGATGGCACTTTTCTACCGTTGTTTACGTTCGCGTGTGCCTTTGCATCGGCTTTTGCTCGTTCGTGGTGCATATGGCCTTTGACCTTCGTTACATAACGCCGTTTCCATGCTTCGAGCGCACCTTTGGGGTTCCCGGCCGAATCCGGGCGAGTGTCGTGCCGCGAGCCCGGCCAGACGGATCGGTCGGCGGCGGCCCCCGTGTGGAAGCTCACCGAGACGCCGCCTCCGGGTCATCGGTTTGTGCCGTCCGCGAGACGGTAACCTTTGCAAGGAGCGAAATTATGCAGACGAGCCGGTTAGAAAACATTATAATATAAACCCTGAGACAATGAGAGTTGTCTTTTCCGTTATTCGATTTATCCTTGTGTCACGGTTTTGCGTATGACGGTAACATTGCGTTGTTTACCAGTATTTCGCAAAATCGTAACAATTTTTGTACAAGCGACTCCTAGAGCCGCTCGTCAAATTATGAGGCGTGCAATAAGGCTTTTTTCTTTTTTTGGCGACACGGCACCCCTTCGCGTCAAAACTTTGTCGGCGGCATTTCGAAACTTTCTGCTCGTAGTGCAATCGCACCCCCCAATGCAGAAAAATTCCGCACATACTGGATAAATGTCATCATCGTAAGCTCAGCACGTTTTTCTAAGTTACAGTACCTTTCTTGAAAATATGGTGCATGTTGCGCATGTCCGGGCCGTTAGCGGCGTCCTACGCCTTGGTAAGCGCATCCGCGCGGTGTGAAGTGAACCACCAGTATGGTGCGGGGCCCCGTCCTTACCTAGCGTGACGTCACTTGCAAGGCATGTATACCTGTTATTTTACGTCATTTTCTGTTAACAGCAACGTTAATACCAGGATAATACCTATTCACTAAAAAATACCGAAAACATGTTTAACTGTATACACATTCACCGATAAAAACTGAAAATATAAGTTCAAAATAAAAACCAAAAAAATTATGCTAAATTAAAAAAAAAAAAAAAACGAAAATTCTCAGCTTTAGTCATAATGTAACACCCGAGACTGTGAAGCAGAAAGATTCAGGAACTTTCTCTAAAGGGTGATGAGGTTCATTGTGAGAGAAAGTGTTTGCAGGTCATACATAGCCAATGTGAGGAAGGGTTGTACAGTATAGATGAATGTGCCTACAAGTACCAAGTGTTAGCGCCAGCATTAGCGTGATGGACATTGCGCCTTTTTTTTTTTTGAGTATCTGCTATATTGTGTTTATTGAGACCATCGAGGCGGTCGGACGGGCATCCGGCTCGCATTTAAGTTTACGAGTTTGTACCCAATGTACATTTTAATTGTTCCCAAATAAACCATCCAGTTTTTTTATTACACAAGGTCTTGCTTTTAAGAGGTCATTCGGTTTTTGTGTCCACAAAGGGTGTATGTGCGAAGAGGTCGGTGATATCAGCATCAGCTGTATAAAAGGAATGAGAAAAATAAAAAAATTAGCTGTGTTCGAGACATCCTCCTATTGTTATCTTTTCCTTTAAATTGAAAGTTTCTTAATTTTTCCGCACCATTCTCAGGCGTTACATTATGATTCATTATCACCAGCTCACCTGTACACTCATTTTTCTATTTACCATGTAGTGTCAGAAGTACTAACCAAGGCACAAGTGGTGTAATAGGTTTGCCATCTGTTGGCATATTTCGATCAAAAACATTTATGGGAACCGGTGGCTTTGTGCACTTTGGCCTTTGCTGCAGCGGCTGGCGGATCGCCAGCTTTGGAAGCGAATAGGTTAATGAAGCAAAACAAGGAAAGGATTATCTCTAGGCAAAGGTTTATCTTAGTCGCGCTAACCAGAAGTTGTACACAGAAGGGCTTTAAGCACCAGAAGTAGCACGAGAGGAAAAAAAAACCCCTGCAGCCAATAGCCACATGGCGCACTAATGTGTGTCACAGGGTCTCATCCTGATGAAGCAGACCCATGCGAGAGGATGAGGTCATCCAGTTCCTTGCCACCAGCCTCATTTCAGAGTCCCTATAAGTTGTCCAATGTATAGAAATTGCTAAGCTTGCATTTAGCCTCTTCCAACCACAGCTATCAACCCAAAGTCACTACTCACACACATTCAAAGTAAATAAGGCTTCCACGATAACTCAATTACAAATAAATCTCTAGATGGATGATGCAAGAAATAATGAAAAGAGGAAGACCAGGAAAGCAAACCTGCCTGAGGCCATTTTGCTTTACTTCCACTTGGGTGTTCTTTTCCCCTGCAAGGACCTCCATGGAGAAGTTGCGAAAGGTGCTCTCAATCACGTTCACCTTGTTCACCACGCAGGTCACATTTTTCACCTGGGTCAAGAATTATAGAGAGAAACGAAGACATGTGACTTTCCATAACCTTACAACAAAGGGGCTCCACTGGCAAAGAGTGCTCCAGTAAGACGACATAGCACCAAAGTGCTAGGTTGCTACATCACATGGTGGATGTTTTGGAAGCTAGCCAAAATTGATTGAGGAGATACTTCTAAATACAGTAATCCCTCATTACAACAAAGTCAATGCGATGAAAATATTTGATATAAGCAGTAACTCGATAAAAGTGATAGAGCCTAAAAAACAGTCACAGTAGCCTCCCAGGTGGACGGGAACACTGAGGAACACGCTGACCGTATATTTAAAGGGCAACTCTGGCCAAAATTCAAAAGGAAACAAATTACTGGTATCGCTTTAGTGACACAAAATACGACCCCAGCCAAAATATTACGTCAAGGGGACGGCGCATTCGCAACTAATGCCGATAATAAAAATGCGACCCGCTGTGAGCAGCCGCTCCTTAGCGGGCCGCCAGCGGGTCACCGATCGCTAAAGCAACCTTGGGCAGTGACATCACTATGATCTTTTTTTTTTCGCCTGGTACGAGCAGGCTTGGCTGTTGCGCAGTCGAACGGGGAAAGTGCGCTTCTTTGAGACGCTACCGCCGCTACTTCGGCTGGTGCTTGGCGTGTTTAGCAGTTGCTTTTATCTGCAGCCCATGTAGCTTCGGTATAGCCTTTTGTATATTTGCTTGTGAGGACTCCAAGGCTCGTTTAAGCGAGCAACTTCGTGCGCACTCGCGCGCATCGTGGTGTCAGACAGAAGCACTCTTCCTGCGAAGTTCGTCAGCACGTGGCAGTGGGTCATGCGCATATCGGTTAAGGCGCTAGCTATCATTGTCTTCGATATCTTCACTAAACGTGTCTGCTGAAAACAAAAAAAAAAAAAAAAAGAAGCCCGCTCAGTTTGGAAATTAGCACACAACCTTGATGCGGGGATTAAAAAAAATTTTTTTATTTATCCCATATGGAGAAAGGAGGCAGAGATAAAAAAAAGCAACGTTTGTGGGTTGTCGATACACGTCCTGCATTCAATTAGTGAAAAGGATGATTCCAACTGAACCACAGTGAAGACGTAAAATAAAACATGCAGTCAACATAGCAATGAACTTCGCATTACTAAGTGGCCTGTGCTACACGAAAGGTAAACATGATAAAAGTATCCAGATCAATAAAGCAGTCATTTTCAAATGCAGTGTTGGACATGGAGCATTCACGCTCCATTGAATGAGGAATGATGGGCATGCAGACTACAACCACTAACTAGCTCCAATTACAAGTTTTTTTGTGTTCGTTTCTTTTGTGACTTTTGAGTGCGGCAAGCCATTTCTTTGATATTTTAACAAATTAGATTGACCACCTAGACGGACTTTCGTGGTAAATTACAGTGTCGCAACTTACAAACTAGCTTCTTATGCGCCCGAGGAAAAAAAAACGAATAAACAAACGTAAGCAGCCCAGCACACGCGCGTTCGGACGCCGCGGCCCGCGCCAGAGAGCCCCAAAGCTTGGTGTCTGGGACTCGCCCCCAGTGTGAAAGCGAGAAGCCTAGGTACGAGTACGAAAAAGTGCACGCACGGCAAGGGCATCATCCACGGAGCCCCGATGGCAATTTAGGTCTCGCAACGAGTACAGACAAGCGCATGCACGGTCATGGCCGCCGGGTACAAAGTTAATCAACGCCTGCCGCACACACGTTTCAAAGCTCATACAAAGAGCAACAAACATTCAGGGTATTTTGCCGCAGAAAGTTACTTCTGCCATTGTAATTGGCCTTTGTAAAAAGCGTGGTCGGCCGCCGATACACTTGGAATAATCCGGTTCAAAATGCATGCATTTCGGTCGAGATCACTTTGAACTTCAAAAAAAGCTATTTCGTTATAACGAGGGATTACTGTAGTTGGTTGTAAGCAGAAGGTTCACAAAAACTAAGATGCAGGCACCGCAATGTAATCAAAGTTCTAATACTACATAGCACTAATCTCGGATGATGTCGTCAACGACACGAAGGCTTATGGCCCCATGAAACGATGCGAGGTGTAGCTGAATGTGGTTGTTTCTGTTTACACATTCTTCCGGCTCAAAGAAACCTTCCGATTTCCCTGTTGCAAAACCGGATTATTTAAGATAAAAACAGTCAAACCGACAGGCCATCAGAAAGAGCAAAGACCATGGTGGCACCATCCCTCAGCAGCATTGTTCCTACAACACTGCACTAACTGAACTGCACTTCCCACCCCACAGCTGGCATGACAATGTCGTTTCAGTCTTTACTTTGAAAATGTCATCTTTAAAGGCCTTCTGACTAAGAATTTATGTATGCAAATTTTCTAACAAAAACCCACCATACTAGCCCAACAACAAAGAAAACATATTTGTGGCTCAAAATCTAGCACCTCGTGGATTTCAGCAAACTTAGCTTCCGTTACAATTTCACACCAGATAAAGGGCTGCAGCAGTACACTGGCCAAATGTCGATTCCGACAAAAAGAATGGCGATACTTTGTGGCAGCATAAGCCCCGATGGTATGTAGAACTAGTTCGGATTTTTTCACTTAAGCTTGGTGTCAGTTGCAGCATCCTCTTTGTCCATCGCGACAGGAAGGCTGAACGCGCTACATGGCCGTTACCCGGGTAGTACTACGCCACAGAAACGGCCCACTTGGCACAAGCTTGGCAATCCTAAGCGTCTAACTTGGGCCTAATACAGTTTCGCTCCAAGGCATTAGTCAGTGAGAGTACTTTTCTTTGGCGTTTTTATGGCTCTAGCTCACCACATCATTGCCAAAGCATCAGACTTGAGCCAAAGATGCTAGGTATCAACAGAAGAACCAGTGGTGAAGCCTAACTTTGGCACTTGTTTGGCAAATCAGGGCCAAAATAGCCAGACTCTGGCCAGAGAAGGTCAAGTTTGGCTCTACCTTGGCTCTTTTGGGCTTATTAAGGCTCCAAGTTTCCCGACAAAAAAATGCTGTTTATCTCGATCCTGCCGATAAAGTCGCTACATACAGAAAGTGTTTTTGCGGCATTCTTTGGGGTTTGCAGTGAAGATTGCAGTTGTTTTTTGTTATTTAGTTATAGAGTTATCATGTTCCAAACTCTGTCCTTCTTTATGCAATGGTGGGCATGTCTCAAATTTCTACTTTCTTCCCATAAACTGTTTGAATGCAAATATGCCGTACACCGACCACAAACGCCGTAATGCAGAATGCCGGTGTTTGCGTTCGAACGAAAGACAACTGCTAGCTTCGCGCCTGCCCACTAATTGGCGCAGTGATAGTATGTCGAGCTGACTATCACGGGGTTGGGACTTCAATTCCTGTAGGGGAACCGTTAAACTTTCAATCTTTCTTCTTAATTTACCGCCGTTTTTACGGAGTGCCATCTGAAGTATGTGTCACAGATTTTGTAGCAGGTTCCACGGCGTTCCATCACGCTTTCCTGGGGGTCCCCCCTGTACTTAGACCTGCCTCGAAAGCAAATTTTAGCCCAAAGGTGCGTGGCAGGCACCTTGTCCAGGTAGACCCTCCCGATGAGGGCCTTGTAGGGCTCCAGGTGCTCTCTCAGGTTCAGGTGCAGGATGTGCCCCACCACGCTGAAGCCCGATGCATCCGGCCGGCCCAGCACGGCCCTCAGTACTTCCTCGGCCGTCCAGTTAGCATACGACAGGGTCACGTCCCGACTCGCCAGTGCGCCCACACCGCAGGCACTCAAGGCATCCCGGGCCTCGGCCGAAAGGTCGCCGTACTCCCGCACCTGCGCAAATCCAGACGATCGGCCTTCGGCATCACAGCTGGTTCGTAGCCTCACTTTTTTTTTTTCTTAGGACCAAGTTCTTCCCATCCCTTATGACGAGATAACTCGATGGCACCATCTATGAGGAGACCCGTAGTAACATTGTCAGTTAGGCGAGTTGGTACCGATTGAACATGCTTACAGTTGAACACATTTGGTCTGCGTGCTTCTCTCCTCTGATCGTGTCTTTTCCTGCGCAATTTTAACGAGCAAAGAAAGAAAGAATGATGCACAAAAAAAGAGGAAATAGAAGTAAATGCCAAGTGTTCCACGGCTGCCCGATAGATGGCGCCAGCAGATTCTCTCGTCGCAAGAGATTTTACAAAGTTTCAAGGCACACGGTCGTAAGGAGTCGCCAATGTGTGAACCGGCCTTTCCAACCTTAAAGCCTCTTAAAATCTCTTACAAGAAAATGTACCGGCGCCATCGATCAGGTAGCCGTGTACACTTGGCAATCCCATATATTTACTACTCTTATCTGAGCATCAAACTTTCTTTCTTTTTTTTAGCTCCAAATACGTTTGACAGTGAAATAACCATTTCTCACATAGTAGGTACATTTGATCTCGCAAATACCGCAAAACCTTTGCTCTAGTGAAATGCACCGTCAGGGCCACCTCATAGATGGTGTCAGCACCCCAGTGTGTTCTTTAGCCGTAAGAGATTGCGACAGGTCAGCCCTGAGCAAACACAAGTGTGTGAATGGGCCTTCAAGTGTTTACGTGCGTGCATCTCGAATAAAGTAGCCAATATTTATTGGTTTTATCACCCTCAGGACCAAAGGCATTACAAAGGGGAGAAAATTAAGTAAGTAAAACGCAGGAGAAAAAATAAAAGGAGCAAAATATATTAAAACATTTAACGGTAGTTAGGACTCTTCACAAGAAAAGGTTAGTAACGGCAGTTCGGAAATGTTTCTTAACGGGAATTTTGGCGATGGCTCGGGGAAGGTGATTACTCCCTGATGAAGTGCTGGGAAGGAATGACTCACAAAAATTATCTACACGACAGGACGGTATGCAAACTTTATGACGGTGATCAGTGCATACTGAAACGTAAGCTGTTGTTAGTAGCCTTTCATTAAGAATCAAATTGTTACGATATATCTTATGACACGAGCAAAGACGAAATATTTATCTACATTACGATAGACGTGGTAATGATAAGACTGATTTCATTGCAGTTATGCTCAAGGTACGATGATACTTGAAGAGTATGAAACGACATGCGCGGTTTTTTTGTGCCTTCTAACTTTGAGATAAGCAATTCTTGACTGCACGAATGCTTTTTCAATACCCTGTTCATTCTTACCTCATGAGATTGATAGTTGTATCAGATCTCCACTCATGCGAGATTCATATTCAAAGAAAATTATTGTTCAAAGAATATGGGATTTATATACATATAACTCATACGTGATTTATATACATGAGATTCACTTTTAAACAACGTTAATATTCATATGACATTCACGTTTATACAAGGTTCATATGCGTACTATTCACATTCATATCCATGATATCATATCTACGATATTCATATTTGTAAGCGATCTATATTTACAACTTTTTGCTGAGCGCGTTGGTGATAAAGTTAAATACTAGAAAGAATAAAACATGAAGGACGGACAAAACGAAACATAAAAAACACACACTAAAAGATGATTATTCATAAAAGATTCACATTCATACCAGATTCAAGTTCATATGACAGTCATAGTTGTTTAATTTCACACTAACAGAGCTACTCCTGTGCAGCCCCTTTATAACAAAATTCTCTTATACCACTCATATGAAGCAAACAACCAATTTCATGCCAGGGTACTCACATATAAATGCTAGTCCACTAATAACAAACACACCTTGCAAAAGGGTTTCTTATGAGTGTGCTGTGCCATACCTGTATGCAGAGAGGTCATGCGCAGGTTTTCAAGACAAACATGTCGAAAAAGCCTACTCAGCAACAGGCACGTAGCCAGGGGGGTGCCCCATGGGGCCCGGCCCCCCCCCCCCCCCCCCCCCCCCCGAAATCTTCCATTTTGCTGGGACCTCCTCTCCACCCTCCCCCTCATACAGCATTTTGTCATGGGCAAGCGGCCCCCCCCCCCCCCCGAAAAAAAATCCTGGCTACGTGCCTGCTCAGCAATAGATGCTTTCTGCCAAAATGCTCAAATTTTTCAGGCCCACCAAACTTTTATGAAAGCTACGGGACCTCCCTAGCGGCAGGCACACTTATTAGTGCTCACCTCGAGTAAATTTGTGACACCGAGCAGGTGCGGAAACCTACAGCACAAAATTCCCAAACGAAGATGGTAAACTCTTAACCGTTACCTTGCAGGGATCAAGCAGGAAGAGCTTCTTAGCACCGTCAGATGCATCTCGCACAGGCTTGAAGTTGGGCAGCTTGAGCAGCTGCTCTCTGACGTGCTTCATGATGATGCCGACAAACTTGGTGTCTGCCTCGAAGCACGGAACATCCACGACTGTGTCAAACGCCTCCCGCTTCAGTTCGGTCATCCCCCTGACGCTCGCTGGAGGGTGCAGGCTTGTGGGCAGTTCTACACTTGATGTCATTTTCGGTGATGCGAAAAATGGAACGATGACACAATGCTGAAAGTGTGAATTTACAGGATGTCTTCTGGTGATGCGGATCCTTAAAAACGTGGTGACAAAGATGCCGAGTCGTGTAGAAACCTAATAGAGAAACGAAAACAAAAAATGAGAAGAGTAGCATTTGCGACGTAAGGCTAGCTTTGTCTAGCACCACACGATGGCAGCTTTAGTTGACGAAGCAACGACACCAGGCAAAAGTGTTAAGGCCCGTTCACACACTTGCGTTCAGAGCGACCGCTGTGACTACGAAGGAATGCAACTGGTTGGACCAATGAGTCGCCATGGCAACGAAGAGCCAAATCGCCGTGTTGTTCATGTTTGTTTGCAACGCAAGAAGTTGAGGCGTGTTGAATTTTTTTCGCTACGTTTGGGAATAAATACAGTGAACACACCAACAGACCAATCATAAGTCGAGGAGAGCTCGGCCGCGTGCATTGCATGCCGGTCGTGGTTCCTGCTAGCTGCTGGAAAACATGGCATCGGTGGTGATCGTCGACGTGGTTGGCATAGTGAAAGCTCATTGTTCCGCATAGAGCACTATCCTTAACTGTAAATTCTTGTTGCATGTCACGGTGACATACCAGCACATCCTAGAAGAGACCATCCATATAGCGGCAATGTTGTGGCAGTACCTTCAATACAGCAGAAAAGCTTGTACCATCATGCTTGTTGACCTCAACTCCAGTGATCTTTTCTTAGCATTTATGCTCTCGAACATTGCCCAAATCTTTTGTTTTGCATGCTCCATGCGTGTGCTCAAGTTCAAGGTACTACAGGTGCGTGCTGTTTCAGAAGATGTGTATGAAGGATGTGAATTTTCGCTCGTTTTCATCATCTAAAAAAAGTGATTAGTCGTGGAATTTCTGAACGCTTGCAACATCTATATGATAACAAAATATTATCTCTACGTTGCTATGTTGTTCCTTAAAGGGCAACTCCGCTTCATTTCTGATATTTAGAAAACTATGTAGCACTCTTCAGTATCATATAGGAAGACCCCATGTCAAATATTACGATCTGATTCCGTTTATATATTTAATAAACTGGCCAGCAAACCTTCAAGCGAGCCAAGTCGCCGAAATCTGCCAACTCTAGCGTGAGGCGCGAGGCGCAATCATCAGCGCAGTCAATGCCACGGGGTTGGAGCGGCCAACGTTGAACCACTACGTCAGAGGCATTGCTACGTCATTCTCACGTTTTGCTAGTTTTTACTTCTCAGAGCGAAATTGAACGATGACGTCATGAGTTTCTCCTCCCGGTGTTGGCTGACCGAGCGTTCATGTGATCACCGTAACACGGATGCGCTAGTTTGCGCTGCCCTTCGCGCTTATCGGTCTGTTTCTCCGCTCTCCTCCTCCTCTTTCGGATTCTCCCCTTCCCCCTCTCCCCCGGGCCATCACCGTCCACGCCATGCAAAACAACCTGCCCGCGTCCAAAAAAAAAAAAAAAAAAAAAAGACCTGCCCGCGTCGCGTGTTCTGTTTCACGATCCCTCCCGGACGTCACAAGACCACGTGGTTCGACGTGACGTGCCATGACTCTGACGACCCGAGAGCAATGTTGCCTGACGCAACCGAAGTTTCGGTTTTGGTATCTGCTGATGTTTAAATTAGGATTACACAAATAATATACCACATTTCGCGAATCCGAAGACGTAGAGTTGTTTAGTAGTGCTTTGTGAATGTGAATCACATGGAAGCCTAAATTTTTCAGAATTGAGCAGAGTTGCCCTTTAAATTACAACATTGTTTTTAATCATAGAAATGGTGTGTTGCGAGGTTTGTACCATTGGTGAAGTCACGCATTATAGTCGTGATTGTCCAGACGGCATACGGCACTTTTTTTTTCATCCATTCAGTTTTGAAAATGAAATAAATAAAGCTCGAGGTTACTTAGAACCGTCTATCCAGTAACTGCTACACAAGTGAATGGCAATGCATCCCCTTTTTAGAGGCACCGCAAAAAAAGCTGACAACGTCTTTGCCGCTGTGCTGACGATTGCCATGTTTGCCAGGGTTGCTGCGCTTGTTGCAAGTGTGTATGCAAGGCGCAGAGCGGCCCTTCCAGTCACAACGGTCGTAACTAACGTGCTCATTGCAGATGTCTGGCCTCTAGACGCACAACACCAGAAGCAGCAATGGGTGGATGGAAAACAACAGCAAATTTGGGGGTTTTGCATGCCAAACCATCTGGCATGCCCCAGCAGAGGACTGAGGATTAATTTCGAGCAGTCCTAACGTTGAAAGAATTTCATCTTTCAACGTTAGGACTGCTGCCTGGGCAAGCTGGTGGTTTATGTTACTTATTTTTGTTTTTTCAATAGTTTTCTTTGTTATGTTATTTTCAATTTCTGAATTGGAATGTCGTTCTTAGTGCACAAAAGAAGAGTTGTTATTTTTATGTACAAGAAAAATATAATGAATACAAACCAAGAGTTGTGAGTCAGTGCTGAGTGATTGTGTTATTTTTAGTGTGCCTGTGTCCGAGAGGGTTTTTTGTTTTGGTGTGCTGCAACGTTCAATCTTTTGAAGTGCAACCGAAGTCTAGCTTACCATGGCACCTTCTCCGCAAATAACCTCTGTCAGATTGCAAGAGCCTCGGCCGGGATTCGAACCTGCCACTTAGGGATCCGTGGGCTGGCACTTTGCCTTGGAGCCACCGAGGCAGCTAATGGATGGAATGGATGGATAGGGCTGAACCCTTTCAATCAATCGGGCAGCAGCTTGCATCACCTAGCGAATGCTTTTAATTTCGAGAGTTTGCTAATCCCTGATCTACAAAACATTAAAGTTAAGACTTTTAATAGTAACTTAACCGAAACAATAATCACCATTTAGGTGCACCCTAGCAGCTATTCTTATTATCAGTCGGATCGCTCCATTTCTTAGAGCGTGTTGAATCAGGTACGTGTCATGGCAGGCGCTGTGATGCGAGTGTAGGCCCGGATTGTTAAACTCGAGCAGGAAAGCACCTCCAAGACTAAGTTTACCGGAAGATTGGTGGCTTGAAAACGGCTCTTATTAGAAGGCGGGAGGGGCAAATGATGAAAAAATCCTGTCCAAGCGTGTTCGGCAGTCCCCGATGACGTTTCATGGAAATTCAGTCACCTCAGATCGTCCCCATGATAGTGCACATGATCTGTTTGTCAGGTGACTGCGAGCAGTGGACACCTCCATCTAAAAGATGTCTTAGTTATGGTTAGAAGTGTCTGGCACGTGAGCTGCAAGTCCCATTGACGATGCATTTTCAAGACACCTTGAATTTAAACCAATAAAAATAATGTGTCTTTTTTCAATAACCATAACATTTATTTCTACCGAGGAGGGTTGAGGTGCGCTAGATCCTCAGCTCTCTTACAAGAGAAAAAAAAAAAGATTTTTTTTTCTGGTTTTGATGACGTGAATTGCAGATATAAACAGAATACGTTCGGCTAGCAAAACCGTATGACAACAGCGACTGTTGCTTCCAGAGCACGTGTTTTGCAACATAACCGGCGGTCGGCTCCCCGATCACTCCAGCTCACAAGGCGAGATGACCTACTCACCATGCACAAAAGAAAAGCCCCTCAGTCTTCGTCCGAATCGGCAGCTTGCGGTCCGCTCGCCGTGTTCACGGCGGCAGCTAGGTCCTGATTCCCACCGGTTTCCCGAAGCCGGTCGCGGATCAGCTCCGCGATGGCTCGCTTCGTCCTCTTGTCAAGCTTGTCCAACTTCTTGGAGACGTCTCTTTTCAGATCCCAGTCGGGTTTACGCGGCGCCAGCGACGACAGATCGACTTCTTTGACGAGGTCTTCCGGCGTGGCGACTGCAATCCGCTCCTTGATCTCGCCCTCGATGGAGACCGGCGACACCTCGGGCAGCGTGGCCTCTCTGAGGGTCTCGTCTTCGGGCTTGTACGACCGAAAGACCGGCTTCGGAAGCGTCTCGTGAGCGGACTCCTCTTTTTCACTTTCGGGGCCGGCGTTGGCACCGCTGGTTTTCTTCTGTCGCAGCGCGAGGAGGCGTTCTTTGCGCTTCAAGGCCTGCTCTTCGAGCGAACCCACCTTGTCGTCGGCGGCCATTACTGCAAAGGCATCTGCGGATTGACTTTGTATCTTAAAATTAAAAGTGGCTTTGACTTTCAATATTTATTTTTGCCAGCTTGCCAACCGTTGGCTTAAATTTTAGCAATTTTAAAATACTAAGCACTAAATTATTTTTATATCAAATATATTATCTAAGTTTATAAACTTTAAAACTTTTTATTAAGACTTTTATATTGATTAGAAATCGAAACTTCTCCTCTATTCGAATTCAAACCGGAACTTTATCTGAGTTTGGAGAACTACATTTGCATATTAACGTAGTTATGTAAATATTGCCTTATTTTTAGAACCGTAAGTAAGTTAGTCATATTCTATGACAAGCGCCACATTATGCACACGCGCAATTGTTTATCTAAGGCAATAGCACAATATCTGTTAGCGCATTGACACCGGTGTCGAAGAGCTGCTTATCGAGAAAGGAATTTCATCTCCCCACGTTTTACGCAGTTGCTTACAGTATCGAAATGCAATTCTGTCGGGGAATAATTGTGATACCCGCTGGGTTCAGTGCGAAAAGTCGTGCGTGCGTCTGCACTGTCTCAAGGTAGCCACCAACCCCCATCCTACGCATTTGGCAACTAGGCGGGTGATCAGCTTCCAAGGACTGCGTGGTTGTATGAGATTCTGCTCGTTCCTTGCCTCGTTCTTGACCTCCAGGTCGCACGATCCAGCTCACAATGTGCACCTCGATGGAAACAGCTGTTTCGTGTAAGTGATCATTTATAACCTTTATTACATAATTTTAATCAAACAGTTTCACTAAAACGTTCGTCCTGTCCGTCTGTGCAATAGTTTTTTTTTTTTTTAGCTCAATCAAATTAGAACGTTTTTCTTGGATGACTGCTGCCTTCCTTTTCATTTGGCGTGATGCGGCTCGGCTGTGGATTCGAAACACGTTACAGCTCGGTTATGGATTCGCAACAATCCGGACTCGGACTCTCCTGTCTCCGCTCTATTTAGCCGTCTCGTTTGCCGTCTAGCTGGTCTAGTTGCAGTTCTCTTTTTTTCATTTATATTTTTTAACTCTGGGACACACATCCTTCAAAGTCGCTGTCAGCGGTGCTGTGCTCGCATGAGTGTAACCGCTGTGGCCGTGCTCCGTTGACTTTACCGCTACCGCCGGGCCGAATGGAAATACGGGGTGCTCTCCCGATCCTCGTTCCTCGAACCAAATGCGTCAATCGTGTTTCGTCGGTGCCGAGCGTCTAAAATGGACGACTCTCCTTTGCGCCTCAACGGGCGCACGGACCGGAGGAGGCTCTCAGGTGGGTGCGGAGCGCACGAAATCACGGACAGCGTTCGGTTGTAACTTGGGACTAACCGCTAGCGTTTAATCTCCGCACGATACCCAGTTGTTGTTTTTATGACAGTCGTAAAGGGAATTTTGATTGAACCCCGAACAAATCTTGGCCCGATGCCCCAAAAAGTCGCGTACACCGCCGACCCAGCTATGGCGGACGGCTAGCACGTCCGATTCGCGAAGAGTTGGGCTGTTTCGGTTTTGAAATGATGCACACGGTGAAGCGCGGGCTTACATCGGCCGCAGGCGGCATACTTGGACTATCGAGGCGGCTTTCCTCGATAACGTGGTTGTTTACTGATGAGCAAATCCGAGGTGACGAGGTGAGATAACCCGAGTTGAGCTCGAAGTGATTACACACGACGAAGTTCGCGAGCTGCACTGCCGGAAGAAAAGCCCGGGTTCACCCTTCGCGCCGGAGTGATTTTGTTGCTGCTTAATGGTGGTTATGAGACGCGAATAATCCAGGCGAATCTAGCGGTTAACGAAGCGTCGAAGCGATTTCTCGTCGAAGTAGGGCACAACCAAAACCGGGAAGGCGCTTTGGATGCACCTCATAATTGGGTCACACTTCCCACACTCTGGTAAGGTCTCGGCCTCTCGTTCGTTGGACGATCTTTCTGGTGCTCCTGGCATTCAAACGTAACTGACGAGACGCCTCGAAAAAAAATCAACAAAATGCGTTCGTTCTCAAGGATGAATTCATTGAAGCGAGGAACCGAGAGTTGCGTGACAGGAAACGCGTGTGTGTGTGTGTGTGGTGTTGCTGGCACGACGGATGGGTGCGGTTTTTTTTTATTTTTGTTTGTTTGTTTTGAAGATGTTTATTTTGTCGTCAGCGTGTCGCTTGTGCTAAGTTGTGCGCTCGAATTTCGCTAACTCGGTGGATTTTAACCTAGGCTAAGCTAGCTTAATACACGCAGCGTTTTATTGAAATATTTTTCGGGACTGAGCGTTGTTGAATGCCAACTGTTTCTTTAAACGAGCTTTCCTATACCGTAGGTATAGTAAAGTCAGGCGTTAAGTTTTCACACACCTGTTTGGACATTCGACTATGCCTTATGCTTCCCTGCTGTCGCTATGCTGTCAGCTACATTTTTTTATTATTTGCCAGCTGCATTGTATACATTATTCTAGGATTTTTACCTTGCGATGTTTGTGCATATAGCTTTTTTTTTTTTTAAAGCTTTTTTAAAATTTATTTTATAGTCACAGTCACTTCGACGTGGCATATCTTTAACCATTTAGATGTTTGAGGCGTTCTCCACATCTTTGGTTTAAGATTTCTGACTTGTTGTTCGGCGTGCCGAAGGAACGCCCATTTCCTGGAGATTGCGAGCTATAAAAAGAAAAGAGAGAAAAAATAAGCCCGAGGGAACATTTCCTCTGCACGCTTCTTTTGACCTTTTCACATTTTCTTTTCCGGTCTAGATTCACGAGGAAGCTTGCATTGCACCAGCTATGAGTCTTTATGTATTGGATCTCATGTTGAAGGTCCACACATACAACAGACAAATACAGAAATAGTTTTATATATATTTAGAAAATCTGGCACATTAGAAGCAGTGAATAGTATGGTTCCCCCATTCTTGTGTGCAGATACTTTTCTATCAACAGTGGTATTGTAAACAAAACACTCAAGGAACAAAGGGCAAGCTGCTTCTTAAACATACCTGTAGCATGTGCAGTATTGGGAAGTACTGTGTCCCCCACAAAAGATTTACAGGGTTTTTTTCACCGCACAACTAAGCCATCCATCGCCGAACGTTTATTCTCCGCCCAGAAGAGGTGCGAACCAGATGCCAAAGTTTCGGCACTAACCGTTATCTTATTTGAAAAAGTTATAAGTGTTTTTCTGCAATATTTAATGGAAAAATGGCGTCCGACAGAATTCTCGATTATGTGGTGCTCTATGGCACCAGTTATCGAAAACGTGCAAAAATGGGCCTGATTTTCCCACTGAAAATTTTAGGAAATCACTTATGACTTTTGAATAAGATAACGGTTAGTGTTGAAACTTTGGCATCTGGTTCGAATTTCTAGCGCTACATTTGGGCAAAGAATGAGCGTTCGGCGATGCATAGTTGTTTTTTTTTCGGTGAATAAAAGTGGACATTTTTTGTGGGGACACCCTGTACGTGGTACTTAGAGTACCGGGAGGTCTTAAGAAAAGAGAACCACGTTTTTTCGGCCTGAGTAAATAAACTATGCATCGCAGAAAGCTCAAACTTGGTGAGAATTGGACGCTAGCAGTTGGGATAGAACGCAAAAGTTTGTGAGCATGATGTTACCTGGGTCAAAAGATAATTGAGAAAAGGAATATTTGCTCTATGAGCTGGCGTCCACGTAACCTGTAATATAGTCAAAGCAACAAATGACACTGAGGGTGCATGTAGCATATCTATTTCACTGAAAAAGCTTGTCAGCAAGAAAAAAAAACAATATCCTCTTTCTTGGTAGCAAGTTATTTTCACTGAAATAGATGCTACAGACACCCACTATGTCATTTCTTGTTTTGACAATATTAGACTTGGGTGGACGTCGGCTTACAGAGAAATTTCGTTTTTCTCAATTATCTTTTTATTCAAATAACATAATGTACTCAAACTTTCATGTACTATCCCGACTGCTAGCGTCACATTCTCACAAAGTTTGAGCTTTCTGCGATGCATAGTATATTTACCCGGGCCGAAAAATGCGGTCATATTTTCTCGAGAACCCCCTGTACTACTTCAGGTGGGTTTAGAAAACTTGTACTTCACTTGAAGTGCATTTTCTGAGCATGTACTGTACTTCATTTAAAGTATTTTTTTCTGGCTCTTTCCAGGAAAGTACATCTCCTGACTTCAAAGTACATTCCCTAAATTAAAAAAAAAAAAAGAGGTGTATTGTCATGTGAAAATGCATCTTTCGAGACGTCATCTGGTCATTTCTCTAGTGAAGTATTGGCAGCTATAATACCGATACAAATAAGTGCTTTATAGGTTGATTGTGTTAAATAGCTCATCAGTGAGAGTAGAACAACTTCTGTGGCGACTTCATACAATATTTGCCGCCATTTCCGAAAATAACTGATGCACCCCCGATTACCCCTGGAGCAATGCATAACAGGTAAAAAAAAAACGCTATACAGGGAATGACAGGGCGTCATGAAAGATTGTCTTAAAAAGTACTTGTACTTTATCTTGAAAATACATTGTATTTATAGTACTTGAAGTACATTGCACCTGGTGTACAATTACCACTTTACTTGAAGTATATAACCTCTCATTTACTTTGTACTTCAAACACTTTTTTTGTACTTCATGCGACACTGAGCATATGTGGCACTCTCTTCTATTTCTTTAGAGCTGGCTCTCATTTGTTCTCTGAATATTTTTTCCTCCAGCTCCCATCATATCCCAGAACTTTTCTTATGGAATAGCGATATATTACATCGCCACCTGTTCTGTGATTCTGTATTGTCACCATTGTCTGTTTTTGGATGCATGCAAGCGGCTTCACTTGTATAGTGAAACTTCACTAGTTGAATCCATGTTATGAAGAGTGCAGCATTTTTTTTTCTATTCTATTTGATTGTCTATGAGAGCTGTAGCTTCAAATTTGGATTGTGGCCCTCGCAGTCGTTACAATTAGTGGTGGAGTACGGACCGGTTTTTGAGATAACAACCGGTTATCTTACTATTCAAATTAGCGAATTATTCAAATTTGAAAACTGGATACTTGAATAACCGGTTACGTTACTCGGTTATATAAATATCTGGGTACTCTAATATTTGTATATATACATTATCCCGTACAGGAAGCGAGATAGTTCGGCCAAATTAAATGGTTGACCGTGCAGCCTCCATGTTTTGAAAATTAAGGGGAATCTTAGAGGTCATTTACCCACCCAACCAATGCCTCCCTAGTGGTTAAATTGAGTAAGTGCACCCATTGGGACAACCATACCATACATTATTTTTTATCTTCCTAACGCAGCATTTGGCTGACATAGCCGAACGCCACGTTGATCAGCATTCGGCTGGGGCTTGTTTGGGGTTTAATCAGCGAAGCACTAATTAAAGACCAGTCCCATCCGAACACTGACACAGCACTAGTGTTAAATCTATGCCCCAGGCTTGATTGGCGCAGAAGACAAAACTATTTCAGTCCAGAGGCCTTGTGTCGGGTTAGCACTGAGCGCTGTAGACGCCAAGCTGGACAGAGTGCCCCCTATAGTTTGCTCTCCTTGCTATACTATGTACAAAACTTAGTAAATATATTACTTTCTAATTACCAGAAAAACATAATGCATTCTTTGTCATTTTAGAGCTATAAAACAGAAATAAAATAAAAGCCTTACTATTATAAGTGACGTAAAACCGAATAACCAGTTTGCCAAACTGTTTTTTCGTATTCGAAAATTTGCGTAACTGGATAACCAGCTTTCAAAGCCCGATTCGCTTTCCTCTGGTTTGACGGATATTTGCATGCTCTATACTCCGCTCTGATGACTGACAGGGTTTTGGGGCCTATAAATGCATGTACTTTTCGGAATAAACCACAGTTGCGAGTGCGCCTTGTGTCGTTCCACTTCTTTGTCCTTGTTTTTTTCGGCGCTTTTAATTATTTAAAGAACCATGAACCAACTGGCTCAACTTTCCACTTTGCTCTATACTCCGTTTCATGATAACTTGAAGAACTGTGGAGGCTGCGGCCCCTGCGACCGAATAAGAGCGTCGGAGCAAGGCACGTGATAACACCCCGTGGTGAAGGCCACGGAGGCCGCATTACCATTACAGTAACAGCGCCGTCCACGACAAAAAGTAGTTCTACGCTTCTTTTTCTTTTGATGGCAATTGAACTTGCACAATTCCATCTCTGTCGAGAATATATATAAAAAAAAAGGGAATAGATATTCACCAATTTATGAGTTTGAATTATATTTAAACAAAAAAAAAGTGACGCAAATCTATATTCGGTTTTGATTAATTTCTCCTTGTAGCGCCATGGCCGTTGCCGATAGCAGCCGTGTAATCGACCACTTCCGCTCAAAGCATTGCACTGGGCCCTGACATTAGCACCTGCCACAGATTCATGGGTGAATTGAGCTTATGGTTGTCTCATGAACTGTTCCCATAGTTTTTGATAATCTAGCGGACGGCAACGTTGCGGCGGTGGACATTATCCGAAATTGGTTGGTTTTGCAGCAGACGACTCTTGGACAGCAGACGGCAGCCGGTTTCCCCGGACCTTGCATTTGGTGCAGTGGCACAGACGCTCCTGTGATGTGGTGTCGCGTGCCTTACTCTGACACTCTCATCGGGTCTCGGGGCCATAGCCTCCACAGTTCGCCAAGTTATTCTGAAACGATGTATGGCATGGTACAATCTAAGTTTGTACTGAACTTAATATTAAAAAAGAAAGCCTGGATTTAAGCTTGTTACCCATTCCTGATCACAAACAATAGTGCCAACATATCGAAATATGTTGGCACTTTTTCCTTGTGTCGGAGCTCTTCAAAGGAAGAGCTGACTGCCATCTAGCATGATCTGCACTATACAACCATGGAAAACATATCTGTGTTGTGCACCATTGGAAGTTCACAATGCGTAAAATGTAAACTTAAGACTTGTCATAGTCAGTAAGTAGATCACAGTTATTAAAAGAAGGTGCTTTTTTTTTTTTAAATTAGGTTATTCAATGTGCTTGTCTTTTCCCAGATATAGCAAGCAGGGCTGTGAAAGGTGATTATTAAGTTTGTTGCTTAGGCAAATTGTAATTAAGTTTCTAATAAGCTTGAATTTCTTCAAGCACATTCACTGTGTTTGAATTAAATTATGTTTCAGTTACCTTTAAAACCTCCCGCGAGTGCGAAGTTTGCTACGATTGCTGGCCATAGGTTCAACAGTTTCCAGTGCTAAAAGGTACTGGCAGAGTTACGTTTGAGCAATTCGCAGTATGTGGCATAGATGTTGACACTAAATCAATAGGAATTGATGTATATATGTCAACATATAATTAGGAGAAATAACTGCAACTGAACTAAGCTCTAATTTCCTTTGAGTCTGTAGGTCAGTTGCAGTTGCACATACTAAAATGAAGAGACATTTATACTCCATTTTATTATAACTTGGCAAACTATGGCTCCTCTGAGTCAATTAGAGCAATGGAATGAAGCCTGTGGCAGCTCTCCACAGGAAGAGTTTACTCCAACGGTTCATTGTCACATGCCTCGCTCCGACGGTTCTATTGGCTCGCCTCCCCATAGCCCTCGCCTTTTTTCAAGTTAAGCCGAAACGGACTCTACTTACTGAAATTGCCCCTGATGGCAGTAACATATACACTTTTAATTACTCTGTCTCAGATGGCAAATGCATTGTGCAGAGTAGTTAGTATAAGTAGGTCCCATTATATAGCAGCCGCATTCAGTCACAATGGCTTGCTAATGGGGCCCTTATTAAATCCGTGGGGGACGGGGGTGGGAGAAGGTTGCTCGGTGAGCACGCCTTTTGAGAGCAGCCGTGAGAGCGTGTCGTGGGAAGCCTTTTGAGGTGGTCAGCGGCCCTTGACGACCGGACTAAGGATGCGAGAAATTGCGGGCACCGGAGCATCCGTCCACGCGTTGCATTTTAGGGTGGCTGCCCCAGTTTTGAGAGATGCACCACTAGTCTCTGGCTCGCAGGTTTTGTCTGTTACTGTTACTGTGTCTCCGTTGGATTGTCTATATCAATTCGAGAACATAAAGTGAAAGCCATATTTTTCTGTTGCTTATGAGACAGCTGGAAATCATTTTTGCCGTTCAAAGCTGCAACAATCTGGTCTAGCTTGTTTTAGGTTTGAAGGGTTGATGCCTGTCTGAATGTTGGCAAATTTTAAGGTTGGGTGCTGGTTTTAAAGGGGTACTCCGCCGATTTCTTCATGGACCCCGATTTGCTTGAAATTTTGCTAAACTCGCCAAACAACATCGCCAAAATAGTATCCCAAATATTAGGTCAAAATAATTTTTTTTCACGAAGTTATTGAATTTACAATTTTGGTCCTCACCGTGTTTTTCAAACTGAAAGTCTCTACTGGCAACAATGAAAAAGTGACGTCACTGGAAGTGCAGGGGTTCACTCTTTGAACTGTAGAATTTGTTCCCAACTGATTCGAAGCAGTTTCATGGTGTCAAATGAAAGCTTTGGAAGCGCGCTCCAGTCCCCGCGCTCCAGCACGGAACAAATGATTGGCATATTCTATTTTTTAGACTGCTCGCCCGACCGGCAAGCTAACCTTTCACTGACGTCACGGCCCTGAAAAGGGCGGGTATATTTGAATGTTTGTTTTTGCATCATTTTCATTTGCCGATTTCGCAATAACTATTATGAATTTCACGATACTAAATAGCATACCAGAAAGGGCAAAGGCCGGGGAGTCAGAAAATATAGTTAGTTGAGGTAGCTCAAAATCGGCGGAGTACCCCTTTAATGGCTGTTGAGCATAGCGCAAATGCTTCGGTTTTAACAGTGCGCAAGCTATAGTAATTTTCTAAGCATGTCTTCTTTTTTGGTTTTCATCGGGTTTTATGTCTATTAATCTGGAAACTCAGTTGGTGATCAATCCTGGTTGTGGCTTTGGAAAATAGACACCCATTAACATGGTCATACTCGATAGACAATCAAAGGGCCTAAAAATAGTCAGAGGCTGACTACACTGCCAAATGTTTTATGCTGTTTTGAGGAGATTATTTCTTCTCGAAAGTGCCCGGAAGCCGCCATAAACTATTGAAAGATAAATGAATATTGATGTTTTGAAAACCAGAAAGGACACATCTCTCGAGCTCAATTTTAGTAACAATGGGTAACAAGTATGTCAAGTGTATGTTACAGTTCTTTACTGTTGTGCCCAATGTCACCAGTATGGTCGGTTCATGCTCTGTTTAACTGGTTTATGGATTTAGATTAGAACGTGATGAATAATAGTTTAGATACCTCTGCCAATTAAACTAGGGTTGTTGCAAACTTCTCGGCATCCAAGTTCAAAAGGGCTGAATGTTTATACACTTTCTGGGGATTGAAGTTTGGCTTGTCTGAAAGTTGTGAACCTCTCAGAAATTCAGATGCTGCGAGGTTTGCTGAAGCTTGTGTTTGAAAGTTGCAAGCCTTTCAAGGACATGGTTCAAAAAGTTTGAAACATCGTTGACAAGAGCTTTAGGAACGTGAAAGAAAGCTTTCAGCGCATTTCCTTAGAACGACGCACTCTAAAAAAACCGCACTTGGATGTCTTACAACACCCTTCGAATCTGTCAAAAGACCAAAAACTGCAAAATTTCGCCTAACATCTTTTGACCATTGAATTTCGAGATTACTTGGTCGCCTTAGTAGATTCGAAGTTTGCAGGATCAGTTTATCCAACAAGCAGGTCTGAAGTTTGTCGAACCAGTCAGTTTGGCAGGTTCGAAAGCTCAAGTGACATAAAAATTTTCAATCTGCCTGACTATCTCCGAAGCTCTGGTTTGAAAAAAATATTTGTGCCATGTCTATAGTTGCAATCGTTAGAATTAAACTTTGAAGTTCAGTTCAGTGTTCTTTTTTTAACATACTTTTTTTTTTAGGGGACTCGACCAACAGTGACAGCATGCCAGACAACCATGACTGTGATTTCGAGCCTGCTCTTGAGTTTGATGACACTGAACTAATCCAGAGTTCTCTCGGTGAGTCGGGCTTGTTTGTTCTTTGCTTACTGACTTGGCTGTGTGCTTCCTGTCATGCCAAGCAAGCAAGCAAGTCAATACTTCATGAAATAGGAGTGTTGGCTTGGTGCCATGCAGTCTTAAGTCAACTCAGTTGTAGCTCTCCGCTTCAGAGGGGTCTCGCTCCCTGTCGGCCACTGTAGTCAGTGACAGGCTAACATTTGAGGGGATCCTCCTCTTTCCCCTTTAGTAGAGCAAACATTGGAGTGGAGGCGACTTCCTCTCCAGCATTCGCTCTGCTAAAGGGGAAAGAGGAGCTTCCCTGAACTGTTAACCTGTCACCGACTATAGAATTCTTCTTTACCGCATAAAGACCTGATTCTCACCAAAGATGGCTTTGGAGCAATCCAGTGATGTGATTGCTGCGCCAATTGCGCCAAACTGCGCCAAGGGGCTAACCTTGCTACATCCTGCTACATTTTGACAAAATATGGGTAATCTGCGCCAAGCCTGCGCCAAAGGACCTATGTCGGTCGCCTTTCAGGACCGAAACTAAACTGAGTACCGTAACTGAGCACACGTGAGCCACGTGGCGGCGCAAGCGGCCACCCGACACTAGGGTGCCTCGATGGGCGTCTGTCATAGGGTGAAAACACCCATTGTTGTATTAGAAACTGTTTATGCGTGCCAAATGGGCCCTAAAATGGCGCCAAAACACCGGGCAGAGCTAAGCGCTCGCTCTGAACGAGATCGAAGCGCAAGCATTAAAGGAATAGAAATGACCGCCACTTAACAGGCGTGGCAAAAGTGTATGAAGGCTCCCCCGTCACGAAGTATCCTGGGTCAATCGTCCATCCGGTCTTGCATGGTTTTTCCCGCCGTCTCTCGTTTCTTGCTCTCATTGTCTCAAAAGTCTCGTCTCGTGTCCTTTTAAAAACAAGTTTCAACGATAGATGCGGGCGTGGGTGGACGCTCCGACGCTATAGTATGCCGGGTACCAGCCATGACATCATGCTGTGAAACGAAATTACGTTTTTGAACGGCGGGAGTTACTTTGCGAGTTGAAGCACTCACTCCTGAAAGCAACGGCCGTGGGAGAACTAGGTATATTTTGTCCCTGCCTGCCAGTCACCGTGGTCGCACGACGTCGGGTGTTGCCGTCCCCACGTCGCTGCAGATATGGAGCTTTCTAAACTGAAACGTAAAAACCGCCTCACCTTTATCAGTATTATCATACGCTACTACAAAACTCCCTTTAACTCAAAGACTGCTGTGCCGAAGTATTGATTACCTAGGTTTTCTCTCTGTAGGCTTTCTCTTGAAAGGGACCTCGGTACGTGAAAAACCTTCCGCGAAAGGAATTTGAAGAGAAGTGAGCTAAAGAAAAAAAGGCAATGTCTGCACGCTGAACCCGCACAGCGTGCTTGTTTGTCTCAAGTTCAATCATTGCACAAAGTGTTCCAAGAACTTTTTAACCCTGGTGCATTATTTCTTGCATCGATGCGCTCAGGTTCTTTTATTTTTGTGTGTGTTTTGCTTGTACCTCACCTGCCGGCTTGGCAAGCACGCGCCGCTGGATTGTTTTTTGTCGTATACTGGACAGTTATACTTCGCATACAATTTTGGGAACCGGTTGGTGACTGTGTGGAGTATTAGCGTTGAGATGTTTTAGTGGCGCCCTCAGATGGTTACCTTCCGTGACGTCATTACCTTGCTAACAACAAGTTCGATGATGTTTGTAAGGAGCATGGTGGAAGCTTGAAATCATTGCTCTCTTAAAGCAACACTACCAACACCGTCGAAATTGAAGTTCTTCCATTCCTCTTATTTCCGTTAATGAGAAATCCTTTGCTGATGTCATATTCAGCATTCCGCCAATCATGGAAGGCCGACCACAGCGACGCTTTCGATTGCGCACGTCACCAATAGCATTGTTTCGGTTTCTATCGAACAGTTGTCTCCGCTCGCGCGACGAAGCACGCGCAACTGCAAGCCTGCTGAAGTTGCCCTCACGTGTTTGCGAACTTGATTGCACGACAAAGGCACCAGCCGGGACGCTTGCAATCTGTTGTTTTAGGTTTGCCTTCTTTTGACGAAAATCTCACACTTTTAGAACCAGTAAGGTGGCAAGCGGTTTTTCGGAATTACTCGGCAACGCCTACAGGAGTGTACACCTGTGGGATGTCTCAATGTCTCGTTGGAGACATTGAAAGTGGACATTCATTACTAGCCGAAGGCAAAGCGAGGCTTGCAGCAGCCTTGCAGAAAGTTTCGACAAGCAAAAAGAAAGGCACCCGCTAGTCGTAATACACCTTTGTCTTGTGTACAGTTTTGCATTGCACTGCAGTAGTTAAGTGTTTCATCAATCGGAGACTGCTTCCATTTATTATATTATATAACTAGTCAAACCTAATGTTGTGATAGTTACTATTAAGCTGGTCATTTTCAAATAAACTTTTATATGTGTAGCTTGGTTCTTATTTATGGTTCTTTTATATGGGTAGCTTGGTTTTTTTTTTTTTGTGGGTACATATATATGTATAATTTAACTGAAGCATTGCAAAATATGTCATGTTATTGGCTTTTCAGTTACATGTTTAAGGACTCCCAGGTGGTCTAATTTGACCATAATTTGTTTAAATGCGGCGAGCAAAGTGCAATTTGTTTGTGCAGCACTTTAACGAAAATTTGGATTTTTCTATTAATATCTACTCCAAAAGTCACCTTTTCTTTTTTTGGTCCAAAACACTGTTTTGGCTGCTCCAAAAGCCATGTTTACTGCTCCAAAACGCTGTTTTGGCTGCTCCGAAACGTGCTCCAAAACGGCTTAGGCCGATCACATCACTGCAATCTCTCTTGCCAGGAATGCAGTCTCTAGAAGTGAAGAAAAACGGCATGTTCTTGTTTGGCCATGAAAGAGTGGAAAATATTCTTTGAGCAAAGAAAACCCAAAACCTACAAGTCACAAGGAAGTAGAGGTTTCCTTGATAAATGAAACATGGCGTGTGTTTGCATTTTTTTTTTTTTTCTTGACAGTTGGTAAGGTGCTGCTAAGTATGTAGTTCGAAGTATGCAGTTGAAGGCTCGTGTTTAAAACTGAAGCCATTAGGAGATGTTGCCATTATTGAATATTGTGATATACTCCCAGTTGTGCACTCGCGCCTTACCACATATTACGAGTACTTCACTGTGGTGGGTCACATCGTCTTTCCTCTCCCACTTTTTATTGTTTTACCTAAACAAAATTACACAATGTTATTAGTCTGTCCTTTATGAATTTTCATGGTTAGAAAATATGCATCTGATTCAAATGGTTAGAAAACGACTCCCAGGACAAGCTCATAACTGCAGTCAGCTTTCTAGCGATGCGAAAGGCTGATCGCTTGGTGATACAATAAAACAGAATACAAGAAAATTACTTTCCCCGTATTTGACTCGGAGTTTTGTGTCAGAGATAAGAGAACGACTTATAAGGCATCATCCATACGCTTTTTCTTTTTTTTTTCCTTCACGCTTGATGTTTTATTATAACATGAAAGCGCGGATTGTGTGTCGGATGCGGATGCGAATACAATAATTTAAGAACATTGTGGATATGGTTCGGGTGCAGATACAATGTCTGCGGATGCAGATCCGATGCGGATGGTAAAACTGTTTCCCACGCAGGGATATGATTGTGATAGGACAATAATTAGAACAAATATTCTTGTGTGCAAACTGTGAAGATCCCCCAAAATTACATAAAGAGAAAATGCTATCGAATATGTTACCATAAATGTGTAGTGATACTCTTTCGTGTAAGAAAAAAGGATATTCCTTTAATAATTTTTTGGGAGGCATTAAAACTACAGAAGACTGCGATCGAGAGGCAGGCGATGTTACGATTTGAAAAACCACGCACAGAAAAATAACTAGAATTTATGCTGCTATGGGGGGGGTTTGGCATATCCAATGCTTATTATTTTTATGCATAAAATATGAAGATTCAAAGATAATAAAGCCCAAATTCAAATATTTTTGCAAAATATAAGTTTTTCGGTTTGCACGACCTCTTAAAGGGGCCCTGCAAGGACTTTTTTACTGGTTTTTAATTCGCACCGAACCTGAGCGCACTGAACGTAGTAACTTGGTGAAACTTTTATTTTCCTGAAATTCGCGTTATTTCAAAAGTTATAGGAAAATTAATATTACAAAAACAAGCAAAAAATAACCTCCCTCATGACGTCCTTGGTTGCTTGAGCGGCCGTGAACTAGAGGAGGGATAGTGGGCTCATCGCGAGCGCTCACGGCTGCCGTACTTCGTGTCGAGGGCGCCACTAAAGCATGATCTGGATAGGCTGTATGCAGGGGGCAGCCAGAGCGGCTCTCAATGCAGTTGCTGCGCGGTTAAACAGTAATTCGGCATGACACTTCATTGGCCACAAACGACAGAAAACACGAAGTAAAGATCAGTTCAGAATGGGAGCCACTTAGCGCTGCCATACCGCGAAACGGCCAAACCGCAAGACAAAGCATCTCGCCAAAGGCCTTCGGAACGCTCGGAGCCGGTCGGATCCTCCTCCTCATACGACCGCAGCGCCGCCGCGTACATCCGGGACCTTTCCGTGTCGGCGCCTGATCCCACTACTCCTTTCTAATATGCGCCGCTTTTTCCACCGCTTGGTGGCGGGTATGTTGACGGGTCATTTCTTGTTTCCATACTTTATAAACTGCGTTTGTTTCTTTTCTTGTCGAAAATAGTGAACAAAAACTACTTTCATACATAGTTGAAATGGTTCTCGCCACTTACATTTTGTATTTCGACTGAAAAGAAGCTTTTAGTGGCTCTGACCAGTAGTAAGCCCAGGACCAAAGACGTCACATTTTGCGCGCTTTCGGTACCGTGGGTCGCCCTCGTCGGTGGAGGAGGTTTCCGCGTCGTCCGGTTAAAATCTGTCGCACTGATATTTAGTTACTCTCTCCGAGCCCACTGGATTGCCCGAACTTCCAAGAGACGTGGAAACCGCAAAAAAGGTAGATGCTTCAATATGATTGCAGGGCCCCTTTAAAAAGAGGCTGAAGAGAAAAAATCTGTTTTTTTTTACACAGTCTAATTGAGACACGCGTGTCAAAAAAAAATTTTACGCAAAAAAAAAAAATTTTTAGACCAATATTGATGGCAAGATATTTATTTGAATTTTTGCTCGCAAAGTCCGTGACGTCAAGGGTCATTCCAGAAGGGCCATCTCAATCAATCGCTCTTTTCACCTCAACCTGACTGCGAAGCCGATCCAATCCACCTCTTCTCCACGCACCCAAAATGCCGAGAGAGAAAACAAGTGGAAAGGAGGTGACTGCCAACTAAACCGTGTCTCGCGCCGTCAATATTGCTATAAAAAAAAATTTTTTTCGCTTAAAATTAACTTTTTGACACGCGTGCCCCAACCAGACTGTTAAAAAAAATATCTTCTTCCTTTTCAGGGGATTTTTAATGTCAGTCAGAACGGCAATATTCAGCAATAGATTTTAGTGATCACTAAGTAAATTTTGAAGAAAAAAATATAAATTTCTGTGAACATTGTTTGCTGGAGCCACTGCCCATAGGCCCTTGGACCTCATAAACTTAAAACAAAAAAAAGCTGAAAGATTTTCAAGGTTATTTTAAAGTTTGACAGTACCGCACAAATAAGATTGACATTGTGACTGAGGAAGATAGCTGCACTCTTGAATTATTCTTTTCTTTGGCCATCTGTTCGGTCTGCTTCACAGCCTTTTGTTGGAAACAAGCTTTCTGCAGGCCGGGCTTTCTTTCTCTAGGCATACTATATCCCGAGAGATAAGTTGCAGTGTGCAAACTGGTCCACCTTAATTGTTTCCTAGATCAGGGAAGAGGCAAAGCTTACTCACCTCTGACAAAGGAGGAGGAGTGGTGCGTGGAACCTGGGCCTGTTTCCCCGCCAAAGCTCAGCCCTGTCTAGTAGAGGTTGCTTCCGGCACATGTAATAAACCTCGACTCTGAGGCCGCGAAAGTGCAGAGTCCTCAGGGGGAGCGCTGACACTGCCTTATCTTTCACTCTCTCTCTCCCCCCCCTCTTTCGAGACTCTATTGTTGCTCGGGTGGGTGATAACACACCACCTTTTCTTTGCTGGGCGTTGCTCTTTTATCTGTTTCCTTTGCAGGTATGGAGGCTAGGGGTTAGTCTCATTGTTTCCAAGCTAGTTCCGCCGTTGGAATTGTTAATTGATCTATGGTTGTTGATTTACGGAACTTCGCACTTCTTAAAGGCTGTCGTTTTTTAATTCCACCGGTAAGACGTGTCAATGACGATGCCGTGACTGCAGAGCTCTGTGATCATTGGACATTTCAACGGCTTAATGGCGTTGTGGACGTCGTTTTTAGGTTGTTTAGTAACCTTTTATGTAAGCTCACTGGTACTTGTTTTTTTCTTTTTTGTTCCAATGTTTGTATAATGTTGGGGCAAGTTAATAAGCTGTTTTGTGTTCACTAGGGGGTTGTTTGTCTTTCCTAGTTAATCATTCTGGGTTTCATCATCATGGTTGGCTCTTTACTGCGAGTTTGCCGCTACAGTTTGGGGGGGGGGGAGTAACATTTATGTAATAATAATCTTGTAGTCTGCATTACCTAGTGTGACTAGCATGACAAATATGTTCAAGTGGGGCATTTGATGTTTGTAAAAGCTTGCATATTGAATAGTCATGAATTATTTTTTTTTCTTTTGTTCCGCAACAGGTACCCACGGAAACCTTCCTGTCAAAGGTAGGCACCATGTTCCATATCTGTATTCCGTAAGCGCCGTTCACACTCTTGCGACCAAGTGAGACCGAGAGAGACCAGACCGGTATTTAAGCCTTTTGCGACTTGTTAGGACTGGATGCGATGCAGCGGAGCTGGTCCTAAGAGATCGCAAGAAGCTTATAAATCAGTCTGGTCTCTCTCGGTCTTACTCGGTTGCAAGAGTGTGTACGGGCCTCGAGTGCATTTCTTGTTTTTTGATAAGGCTTAGCTCAAATTGAATAGGTATTCAACAGGTAGATTATCGCAGATATAAACAGTAGGAGAAGGAAACAAATAAAAAGAATGATTATTTGGGTTATACTTCTTTGGAGCTTGTTCATCCTAGATTTATAAGTTACAGATTTTTGCATCTCATGTTCATTAAGGTTGCTGCCTTGTGCAATCATGTTGACCATTCTAATTACAAGATTCCAATTATATTGCATGACCAAGTCAGAAAGTTCTGTGGTGACCAAGACTATATGAACTGGGTGTTTGTGTAAAATTTGTTTTGGGGTTCCCCAATCTTTTTTATTGTGTACAAAGATGAAAGGAGTTTGTGTACACTGAGCAAGCAAGATGTTTGTTTTTACAGCATGGCTTCCACACTGTAATTTCAGTTCCTGGTTGTCTAAGGCTCCAGGTGCTTTTCTCTCTTATCCATTACTCACACATGCTACCTCTTTCTCATGGCACCCAGCCTTTGTTGAAGCTACTGAAGTGTCATTTTTCAAGTATTTTTTAGAGACTACACCATATTTAATAAGGTTGCCAAACTCTCTATATAGCCTTTATTTGTTTTCTCTTCTCGCGCTCTCTCTCTTTTTAGACACTCTATGTCCGGTACTTTGTGGTTTAAAGCCTTATGTGAGTGAGTGGACTGATTCCGCCAGCTGGGCCAGCCAGCTGGAATCTGGGGATAAGAGATAAAATCGCAGACTTTCAAAGGCTGGACATACCTGCTGTTATGAATCGACGCCCAGCCTTGTCTCTCGGGTAGCATGGCAATTTCGCTGGCATCCAACCTTTCTGGCGAACAACCTCCTAGCCAGACAGTCGGGGAAACAGATTGGGAAAACTTAAAAGGACGGAAAACTAGTTTATTTACATCGGTATATCGTGTAGCATATTAGCAAAAGGAGCGCATCGCAGCAAGCAGGTCCTTATATAATAAAAATTGGGGTTCTGGAGCTGCCGTGCCATTTGTCGGTTAGTGTTGCATTCCAAAACTGGCCTCGACGTTGGCAACCTCCTCTCGGACCTGATGCTCAGTCGTTGTTCTTCTCCGAATTGAAGGCGCCTAGTAGGGGATTGTCTTACATGCTGTAGATGCAGACACAATAGATTGCCTATCTGTTCAGGGTCGGATTCTGTCTGGCGTTATTGTGGAATGCAGACTCCTTCACACACTGACTGCAGCGTCTGTTCGGATGTCCTTGAACTGAGGCCTGAGAGAAAGGCTTCTCCGGTTTTGGTCGAACAGGCAAGAAGGGTTCGAATCGCACGCCAACCCTCTCGACGTTTGCTTGGTTGTTGTTGGCACAGGAATGCAAGGTCGATCCTCCCAAACACAGGGAGATGGATAACACTGCTATGAGGCCATTGTGGGCATCTATAAAATGTGACCAAACATCAGATTATAACATTTTTCTGAGGTATATCTCAGAAAAGGGGTAATAACACATTGTTTGGTTGCATTTTTAAGGCATAAAAATGTCATGCATGATCATGATTTTGGGGAGTGCAGATTGAGTTATTGCCATAAAAAGATAAACTCAGAATTCATTTTAGAGCACACTCCCATAGTAAGCATGGTGCGCTTAGCGAGGGTTTTCAAACTTTTTAATCTCGAAGGACCCCTTTCTGGTTTGACCCGAAGTCGAAAAACCCCTGCCAGTCTCGAGATTAATGCGGTAAAGGAGGTGTGAGGTCTACAGAGACTCCCTTTGCAACAAGGCATACTGTAAAACCCTTTATTTTTGTGGCCCCTATTTTTCGCAAATTAGTCGCAGGGAACATAATTGCGGCCATTAAATTTCGCGAATTCCAGAAGCCGGCATCAAAACTCTTAAGGGGGCACTACCTAAAATTGTCAGCTTTTAAACTGCTTACTTAATCTGCGGATATTTTCAGGTGGTATTTGCAGCCATATATAGAAGGAGGGCATGCAAAGCTTCAGCTTTTTGAACCAGTTTTATACCCTCAGAATGAAGTAAAGCATAGCTTGGCATGGAATCTGCTCAATAAATGTATCGTTGAGAAATGGTGTTGATAACCACATATTTTTCTGGTGGAATGCATACTGGAAAACATGTTGCCGGTTACGATGAAAAGAAATTTCAGAAAATATGCATTTCCAAACCAAACAATTTTACAAATTTTTTTTTTTTTTAATTTATTTATTAAAAATTAAAACAGTGCAAGGACACAGACAAGCACAAAAAAGAACAACTAGCCCAAACTTCTATGTTAGTCACATTTACCAAAGTTTTGCAAATTACAATTTTTTATAATAGGGGAACGTGAAAATACAAAATCTAAGTTCATAGTAACCGGCTTCATTAAATTTCGGGATATAAGCCACACATATTAGGTCTCTCGATAGTTTCATACTGAAACAATAGTTTTATTAAGGTGGGATTTATGGCAAAAAGTGGATTGGAGAAAAACTCAAAGTGTTTTAACCTCCACCTTTTCTTTAGCATTGGTGGACTGAAAATAATTTATAAAATAATAATAGTGCACTGTAAGCAAACAAAACTTTCTGGGAATACTCTCTAGATGATGGTGGATGTAAATAGGGCATTTTTCAAAATCATTCTTTTTGCAGAATTAATTTTTTTCTGGGGATTTCCCCCCTTAAAGGGCAACTCCGCTTCATTTTTGGTTTTGAAAAAACAATGCAGTCCTCTTCAGTATCGCCTAGGAAGACCACACGTCAAATATTACGACGCAGTTCTGTCTAAATGTTTCTTAAACGGTCCGGCAAACTTTGCAACTCACCAAGTTGCCGAAATCGGCTGACTCGAGCGGGCGAATTCAGGCGCAACCAACAGCGCAGTCAAGGCTACGGCATGGGCGGAGCCAACATTGAGCTAAACGCCATCTACATGGCCCCCTTTTGCTTGTTTTTACTTCTCCGATCGAGCGTAGCGCGTGACGTCAGCAACGTTGCCTCTCGGCGCTCAGCGATGTCCACGTGATTGACGTACGCGCCTGCGCAGCGCGCTTCTTGGGAGCAGACCAGCCGCCCGCCGTGGTCCCGCCGTTACCGCCGTCTTCCGCGTCACAACCACCGTCGTCGTCTCACCGTTTGTGATTATTGCCTCTCTGAGTTTCGTCCACACTATGGACATCACGTGCGCAGAGTCCCAGACTTATGCCGCAGTTGTGCAGACGTCGTCGAATGCCGTAGACACCAAAACGTGGCGAAGAGTGCGGTGCAGACGACACTCGCGCCTGCCGCACACCCGCCCGCCCCCATCCCGCCCGTCGTTGTGCCGAGGATCACGTGACCTCTCGTACCACGTGATGGCCATGTACTTGGCGGCCCGAGGCCAATGTTGCCGGACGGAGCCGAAGTTTCGGTTTCGATTTCCGCTCGTGTTTAAAATTAGATTTAAAAATATATATCCCATTTTTCGCGAAGCAAAAGACGTAGTGTCTTTTACTAGGGCTTTTTAATTCGAAATCACTCATTATCCCGAAATCTTCGGAATTGAGTGGAGTTGCCCTTTAAGGGCCGAAATAATTTTTTCCTGGGTTGTGTCCCCCCTTAAAGGGGAACTCCGCCGATTTCTTCATGGTCCCCGATTTGCTTGAAATTTTGCTAAACTCGCCAAACAACATCGCCAAAATAGTATCCCAAATATTAGGTCAAAATAATTTTTTTTTCACGAAGTTATTGAATTTACAATTTTGGTCCTCACCGTGTTTTTCAAACTGAAAGTCTCTACTGGCAACAATGGAAAAGTGACGTCATTGGAAGTGCAGGGGTTCACTCTTTGGACTGTAGAATTTGTTCCCAACTGATTTGAAGCAGTTTCATGGTGTCAAATGAATGCTTTGGAAGCTCGCTCCAGTCCCCGCGCTCCATCACGGAACAAATGATTAACATATTCTATTTTTTAGACTGCTCGCCCGACTGGCAAGCTGACCTTCCAATGACGTCACGGCCCTGAAAAGGGCGGGTATATTTGAATGTTCGTTTTTGCATGATTTTCATTTGCCGATTTCGCAATAACTATTATGAATTTCACGATACTAAATAGCATACCAGAAAGGGTAAAGGCCGGGGAGTCAGAAAATATAGTTAGTTGAGGTAGCTCAAAAATCGGCGGAGTACCCCTTTAAGGACCGAAATTTTTGCATGCCCTTATACTTTGCAAATTTTGCAGTTCGCGAAATTTACAAAAATTGAGAACTTGCAAACATTAAGGGTTTTACAGTATCCTATAGAAAGTGTTTGCTTCCTAGTTATGCATGGATGGCTAAAATCTTGTAAAGCGGCGAGGAAAATACTTAGGAGCAGGGATGTTTGAGGAAATTTGGGAGCCTGGGAAACCCTTGGGGTACTGTGGGAAACCCCTGGAACTTGGTTGAGAACCCGTGGCGTGTAAGCTGAACATGGAATGTTAGTTGTACCAAGTCTACCAGGCCTGATCGAGAAAATGAAGCGCAGTTTAAACTATGTGTCGCGAAAAGATTACACTCGGTGAGAATGTGATACTAGCAGGGGTGAAAGAATCTGAAAGTTTCAGAACATGACGTTACCTGGATAAAACAATATGAGAGAAAACCAAAATTTCTTTGAGCTCACGTCCACCTAAGCCTAAGGTTCATTGAGTCAAGGAATGACATGTATATTGTGGAGGCTTGCATTAATTGCGTTGAAAAAACCCCCCGAAACTACATAGTCAGCGAGAAAGACAATATTATTTTATTTTTTCCCGACAAGTAATTTTTACAGAAATAAATGCTACCGGCTCCCACAGCATCATTTATTGTTTTGAATATTAGGCTCGTAGGTGGAGGTCGGCCCAGAGGCAAATAATGTTTTTCTCTCGTATCTTTTGAGCCAGCTAACGCCACGTTCTCAAACTTTGTGGTTTGCCACCACCTCTAGCACCACATACTCGTGGAGTTCCAGCTTTCTGTGACGCATAGTTAACTTTTACGAGCCAAAAAGTTGCGTTCCATTCTCTCGATTGACGCCCGTTTTTGTTTTTTTTTGGCTCAGAGCCTGACCGGGCGGTGCCCACGGAGCTGGCGCTGGGCCGTGGGGAGCGGGGGCTGCTGGGCAACGGGCACAGCGAAGGCAAGGGCTCCTCGTCGGACTACCTGGACTCCCCCTCCTCCCTCTCGGACAGCATCATGGACGAGAACTATGAGGCACAGCTGGGCCTCGACTCCCTCGAGCCAGAGTTTGCCACCGAGGCAAGGGAGGACTTCGACGACATACACCGCTACGGCATTGTCGAGATCGCCGGTACGTGGGGCCTCTTTTGCATCCGGACAGCATTTGGAAAAAACATCAGAGTTTCATATTTCAGACATTGCGATAAAACGTTGCTGGAGTTTGCACTATTGCCGTAATATCTTGAGAGGTAGCCCCGAAAGATAGTTCGCCCCCTATTTTTGGCTTGATTTCATATTTTTTCTTCAACACTGAAAGATAGCACACATCTATAATCATAGTATTCGGATCAATGATGGCCTCGACGTAAATGCAGCAAATTAGCTATGGTGGGATAAATGCGAACATTACTGATTGGGAAGTACAGTCATCTTTGCTTCATTGCCCCTGACCGTTATAAGAAGTTTCACAGGGACATATAACCTAAAAAAAGCATTTGTTCAACCTTTCTCGATTGCACAGCGAAAGTTAGCCTGCCCGCAATTTTTTACCCGACTGGCTCTTGATTCTAGGTAAGTTATCTCTGGATAATGTGGTAGTTGTAAACCCCTTTACATACAAAAAATAAGTAACTTTTCTTGTTGAAAAATAACAGTTTCAGACCTATGTCTCCCCCCCACAGAATGTGTTTTGGAACGAAAGTTTCACAAAAAAATGTCCCTAAAAAAGTAACTTAGAGAAAAAAAAGTGATTTGGTATATTAATTCACCAGTTCAGGCTTCACCACTACATTTAGCAAGAAAATTGAATTAGTATGATTACAGTTCAGGCTTCCCCGCTAAGCTTTGGGAGAAAATGCTTCCCATTAAATTTTAACTGAAACAATAAATGAAAATGTAGTTAGCATAAAGAATTTAACGTCCCATTCTGTGCTCATCAGCTTTGGCATAAAAATCAAGCATGCTAAATTCCTCTCTTTTTTTTTTACTGCCTTAGCTTGAGTGTGAGTCCTCGATGGTGTGGCCTGCTGCACATTGCAGACGACAATCGTGTAGGCACATGGGGTGCGATGTGATGCTCCTGTCATCCTCAGTGCGAGCAACAGGGGATGACAAGCACATCCCATTCGTTTCCCTTGTCCCTCACAGTAATGTGCAGCGCCATTGGGATGATCGGTGGGTGTGCTGTTTACTGATTGATTTATGTGACAAGGCATTATGTACTATTCAGATTAGAACTTGGCCCGTATTGCACCACATTGGTTATGCATTTGAGCCATAAACTCACTTTACAGTTTACTTTTGGTGCCTTGTAAGTGGGTTAGGTTTTTGACATTAATACTTGTACTTCTGCCATTGGACAGAAGTCTGAACCTAGCTCCTTGTTTGGGGATAACTCTTTATGTGGCAACTTCGATAATCCATTCTCTTCCTGAGCATTTGTATGGCAATTTATGCTACCTGTCGCCGGGGCTATGTAGTCTTTGCCCGTTGATAGCACGTCCGACTAGAATTTTGCGATTGTCGTTAGCTGCTCTGTATATGGAAGATAAAATTGTTAGACCTCAGGGAGCCACATTAGAAACCTTTGCGACATAATTACCCTCATTATGTGGTCCTCGGTAGCTGTGGCTTGCTCTGCTTGTAATCTAGGATGTGCGTTCTCATTCAATCTCTGAGAACATCTCTCTCCCGATCCCAAGGTCCTGGTCTTGGTATTGATGGAACAGGGTGGTGTAGGAGACTACAGGCCTTGCAAACAGTAGTGAACCTGCTATAGGGACTGTTTGGCCCATAGTTATGCATCGGTGTATGGCTCTTTGAAAAAGGAAGCGCTTAAACTAGAAGGGCACTTGAGGACAAAGAGGGCCGATCAAATTTGGGTGCCCGGAGAACTACTGGGGATACTTTGGGGAACTCCTAGGTTTCTAGGAATTCATCTTGAGAACCAGTCCCTAGGTCCCAGGGAATTGCAAATGACCATGCTATCGACCAAAATCATTTTTGTCTATGAATTTTTTTAATTTTTATGTAATGCCCGGTTGGACCTTTAACCCTTTGACGGTCGTCGCCATACATGTACGGCGGTGATTACACATTTGAAAGTGCTCGCCTAAATTTGAAACTGCGCACACTGTGGGAAGTGTTGCTATTTGTTATTTCTTTTGTGCACGATAAATGTTATGTTTGCACGGTGTTTTGCTTTGCTGGGCTTTTTATAGTTTTCAAATTAGATGCACGTGATGCTCACTTCAAGTACCGCCCACTCTGGCGATAGTGCCAATAGAAGCACTGACTCTTCTGATTCAGACTTCGGACGCTTTTTACAGCAGAGCTGTTAAAGGCTAGGTTCCCCAGGATCGTGTCCGGTACCAAAATCTTGTCGACGCAAACCTCCACAAACCTCTGGACAGCTACCGCCATCTATAAGCGACGGCAGCAAGCACACAACCAGTCTGGTTGCCGCCGTCGCTTGTAGATGGCGGCAACCTTTCCAGCTATCATAGAAGAATGGATAGTTGGGCGCGTTAGTAGGAATTCATTGTACGATCGGCGGCGTGTCGGACGAGAAGAATCGGGACACGGGCGCGTGCGCGTTGCAACAGTGTATCGAGTAGGCGGACGTCTACAAAGGACCGGCGTGCAGAACGTGCCGAGATTCCCTGCTCAAAGGTGCGGTGCCCCAGTTTGCGACCGTGAACGGCTACAAGTACCCACCCGTACCAGAGCACCTACTGAGGTTGAATATGGTGGAGGAACGACTAGTGGTGCCTCGACTCCCGTTCATGAGCCGTGGGCGGTCGACGTGGTATAACAAAGACAAACAGGGACAATACGGTTGTCACATAACCAATTACCCAATCACACCTTAATCCTTACATTTATAAATACTTAATTTCCACCATATACTACAGTTTCGCTGGTCTTCCTTCTTCACGACAGTGGAAAGGCTGAAAGTTTTGGAATTAAATTCGGAGGATGAGAGCTCATCATCCGAAAGAGAAGGTAATGTACCTCCAGTTAGGAATCCGAAACAGCTGGAATGTCGTGGAAGCGGTTGTGCCAGAATCAAACCGATTGATAGAAAGGAGACAACTCTTTGTCTTCAGTATTTTAATTTAATCCTTCTGATTCTAAACCGCTTGTGAGCACTGTACGTGCTACAACTAAACAAATGAAAAAAACCTGCTCATTGACCTTTTTTTATACTATTCTTTTGGAAACAAAACACGGCCACTGAGAAACATCTTATGGGGAAAAAAACTCGACCGTCAAAGGGTTGAGGGTGTGGTAAATAATAAATAATAAAAGTGACGATACTCTTGCTTTGTGTGGTACAGGGGACGACGCCTACGGTCGGAACGTCATCGTCATCTCGGCGTGCCGCCTGCCGTCCAACAAGGAGCTCGACCACGCCAAGTTCCTCAGGTAGCGGTTGTTCCTCTCCGCTCTCCAGAGCGGGCGTCGTCAAACCTTTCAGTTTCAAGGAGCCCCCATTTGCCAAGATTGAGGAACGCCTTCTGGTCTGGTTATTGATGCATTAAAGCAATTCAGGAGCTTGCAGACCTTGTAAATAGTACATACTAGGAGGTGCAGTGGTAGGGGATGGAGTTACCTAGCCGTCAGTGTGGTTTGCCGTCGCTCTTTGAAGCGCACTAGTAGACGCGTTACGGCCGCATTCTCGTCCAATGAGGTGGACGGCAATGTGCTATGCAGGTACCTGATGCACACCCTGGACCAGTTTGTGGAGAATGACTACACGCTGGTGTACTTCCACCACGGACTCAACAGCAAGAACAAGCCTTCCCTCGGCTGGCTGTGGACCGCCTTCCGCACCTTCGATCGCAGGTCGGTGCCTATTTATCCTCCCGACACCGAAGCCTGGTTCAGACAGTTGCGTTCAGGGTGACCGAAACAGTAGTGGCGACAAAGTTGCCGGGACAAGTGTTTACCACACACAACGTATCGATTAATGGAAGAGCTAGCTTCGTGAAGCTATTGTGAGCTGTGGTCGGTTTCCCATTTGTTGCTGTTGTTTTGAATGCTGCAAATGCAACGAATGCAAATGTCTGCAACAAGCTGGGATCTCCGAGGAAATAGGTGACCAGGATTTCAGAGAGAAAGCTACACAAGAGAATGCACGTTTGAGGAAAAAGAGTGATGAATTGAGAAGAAAATTTGGAACATTCCCCAACAAGAATCAAATCCAGGGCCCCAAGTTTCCTAGCGTAACAGTTTACCACTGTGCCAGGAAGGAGACTCATGAGGCGAATCACTTTGTTATGCCGGGGATGGGAAGTGTGTGGGTAACCGTGTGACCCTGTCGTTCGACTGTATTGCGTGATTTGATGTTAAGGTAAAGGTTCAAAAGAGCTGTGGGGTGGGGAGGGGAACAGTCGACCATGTAACCATATTGTACGACCATGTCACATGATTTGGCATCGCGGGAAGAAGCCACGGAAACATGTTTTGTGTATACAGTCATAATCTGCGGGATCAAAATAAGCCGAGCACATAAATCTGCAACTTTTCGGGACGCCGACCGAATGATACATTGCAGCTTGTATATCCAAGATTAGAGCCAATGAACCCTCCTAGAGTTAAAAAGTCTAAGCCTCATTCTGGAGCCACGTTGTAGTGCTAAAATCAATATTTACAAAATGGAGCCTCTTTGCATTTACGTCTAGCCAAGGTGGGCAAACCTGGATGAGTCTGCTCGTGAGTGATCAAAGGGATCGACAGTAACTAAGAAACTTGATATACCAGCCAGAAATCTGAGTTAGAATGTACTGTATGTATTCCCGATTATGTGAGTTGTTTCAATGTGCTATTGCTTTAGTATAGTATTGTTTTTTTCGTGTGGCAGTTCACCTGTGTTTTGGATTTCTCATTTTCTTATCATTGCGCACGTTCCTAGCATTCTGTTATCACAGTATAAATTCCTTTGGTGCCTGCATTGCAACTGCTGGTTTGGGCAGCTACTGTTTTCACAACTTCTTTCCCTAGTCACCTTTCAACATTTCGTTTTAGTATTGAAAAAGTGAAGGAATTGTTATTATTAATTCCCCATGTATCTAGAACTTCGGCCTGTTCTGAGTTTACATACATTTCTCAGGTATGTCTTTTTCTCAGCTCCGAAGTGGCCCCCTTCTGCCAATCAGAAAGATAGACTGGCTCAATTCTCTCGTTCGAGTGGATGGATGCTGGGAACATTCAGTGACTTTATGGATCCGTTTCACGATAACATGGCAAACTGTGGAGGCTGGGGTCCCGCAACCCAATAAGAGCATCGCAGTGTGGCACGTGACCTGACGTCACGGGCGCATTTTCGTCACCACGCCAAATGTGAGGTGCCAGGCCCGGAGGAACGGGCTGTCGTCTGCTAGCCAAGAGTCGTCTGCTCCGAAACCAACCAATTTCAGATGAACGTACACCACAGCAACATTTCCGTCCGCTAGAATAGTGAGCACTTTGAGAACAGTTCATGACACAACCCTACGCTCAATTTATAGCCACGAATCTGTGACAGGTGCTAATGCCAGGGCACAGTGTGATGTATAGAGCGGAAACAGCTGATTACACCGCCTCGATCGGCAACGGCCATGATGCTACAAGGACAAAAAACGTCAAGCAATTACGGATGCGACGTTATTTGTTTGGTTTAAATGTAAGTAAAAGTCATACATTCGGGATTATTTATTTTTTATTGTTCATATCTTCTCGTTATGGATGGAATCGCATGAGTTCAATTGCCGTTAAAAGAAAAAAGAAGCCTTGAACTACTTTTTGTCGTGGAGGGCTCCTTTGCTCTGGCGGTACTGAGGCCCGGTGGTTTCAACCATGGAGCGTTATGTGCCTTGCTCTGGCGCCCTTATTGGGTCGCGGGGGCCGCAGCCTCCACAGTTCGCCAAGTTATTGTGAAACGGAGTATATCAAGGGTCTTAAAATAAGAATATTTATGCTGAGTACAGCTCATAAAAGCCTAGTCACAGATGTAAACAGGAAGCCTGCGAGTTTTTGCAGGAGTCCCTCAAAAAAAAAAAAAGAAATATTAATTTTTTTAATTATTATTTTTTATTTTCAAGTTACAAACAACATGTATTGTAAGTACTACACTCAAGGAGTGCACATTTATATACTAGTTACATTGATTCAAAGTTTTATATCCAGGCTGTTTGTAAGCATGTTTTGTAAAGCTTTTCCTGGTTTCTCAGAATTATTTTTTTTGTCATAACACAGCCACAGTATCTTTGGATTTAAAATTTGGACCTGAATACTCCTTCAAGTGTTTAATACCTCATAAATCAGGAAAAGGCTACTATTTCTGGAAAATGTTAACTACAAAATTTCCTAATTGGCAGAGCTTTTAATGACTCATTTCTAATTAGCAGCAAAAAGAATTTCAATTTGTGATAACTTTTTCTTGAATGATACTAAGATTATAACAGAGGCGGTGTTGCATTCTCTCCTCTTTGTAAAACATGGCATACTTTGTGCCATATTTTTTTTTATGGGGTATTGTAAAAAAGTTAGGCAGAAACATTTGTGAAACTGTTGAGGTTTTATTTGAAAACCTAGCTCCTCTATGTCGCACAGATCAGTCATTCTCAAGCGTGGGTGTGTTGGGGACCTCTTGGGGGCCTGCCAAGGTGATAGCGGATCCCATGCCGGCGAAAGAAGGGAAAGGAAAGGGGGGCATATAAAATAAGAACTTAATTGGAGTTTGAAAAGGGATTCCTTTGCTGTTAAATACAGGAGAAGTGAGAAGCATCAGGTAAAATGATGAATGGATGGATATATGGCAATGGCTGTATCCTTTATAATGGGCGGTAGCTTGCGCCACCTAGTCAGGGTTATCAGAAAATTCCTTTTTTTTGTTTTAAGAAAAGGGGGAGGGGGGAGGCAAGGGCTTTGCGGAGCCCTTCCTGAGAACCACTGGCATAGATAGTAAAAATTTAGCTTATGCTTGTGCTTAGCACTGGAACTTATAGTAGTGTTTATTTTTTTCCTGTTTTTGTTGCTTTATATAACAATGTTCTCGAGCATGTAACCCACTTTTTGTTTGTTCCTTTATATCAGTGGTTCTCAACCACTGATGTTTCGCGGACCCGTTGTGGATCGGCAGGAAAGTTGGAGGACCCCGTTCATGGTGAGGGGAGGGGAAAGGTATAGGTTAAATATGATAATGATTTAATAAATTGATATGACTAAGGGCTAGTGTGAAGTAGACTTCTCTTATTGACATAAACACGAGAAAACGCGCCCGAAAACTAAAACATATCTTCTCGATCTGAAAAAAGACAACCTATATAGCCGGGCTTGACTGATGAGGCAGGGCTTTGCGGACCCCTAGAATGCCTTCGCGGACCCCAAAGGATCCGCGGACCCCCATTTGAGAACCACTGCTTTATATTATGTTTTTTCAGCAGATACCCCCACCTTGTGTAATGCCCGTAAGGGCCTTCAAGGTTTAATAAATGATGTTGATGATGTTAAAATTTAATATAAATTAGGTCAAACATTACAAAAAAATGTTCAAGAATAGGGTGTCCACTTACGAATCTGACTATCATTTGTTTCATGCTCTTGTTGCATTGTGTAGAAGGTAAAAACAAAATTGCATGAGGAAATTGTTACCAAATACATTTCATTCGGAAATCCCCATCTGGCATTAATGCACATCGTTATGGTGGGTTGTTGTCCATGTCAACTTTTATCACTTACCAAGTGCTAGCATGTAAAATGAAGTGTCCCAAGTACATGCAGAGTTTGAACCACCAGGTGGCAGTATAACCACCACCCAGGAATTTTATGTGGACGACTTTTTGCTGTGTCTGTGGTACAGATACAAGAAGAACCTGAAGGCGCTGTACCTAGTCCATCCCACCAGCTTCCTCAAGATTCTGTACCAACTGTTCAGGCCGTACATCAGGTGAGGGCTGTGGCTGGACAGAAATGTCCTTGTATTTAGTCTGGAGACTGTCTACACCTTAAGAACTCTGTCCACACTATGTAGACAGACCATTCTGTGGACTAGGGTTAAAACAGCTGGGAGAAACAAAAAAAGGCTGAGATGGAAAATACCTATGTGTGTTTGAAGTCCTTGTAGGGTGGCATTTTGTAAGATGAACTAAATTTATCATTTTTGTATTTTTAATGTGCTTGATATTTGCAGTAAGACTGCATTTCTCTAATTATGAGGTGCTATAAGTTTTTTGCGTTTTTGAAGATTATGCTTTCCTTAGTTTCAGCCCTTAGCTTGATTAACTTTTTTTTTTGGGGGGGGGGGGGGGGGGGGGGGGGAAGAGGGGGAAGGGGCGGGGAAATGCATTCTAGCTTTGGCACATTGAGATCAGATGGCCATACTTTCAGTGAACTCTTAGAAAGAATTATTCAGCAATGTCACGAAGTCAGGGTGTCCAGCGACCAGGAAAACAGGGAATTGTTAGGGAAATTCTAATTACCGGGAAAAATCAGGAAATTGTCAGGGATATTGTCAAAAAGCGAGCCCAGTCAGGGAAAATCTGCCGGAAACGCCATCAAATGCCCCGAGCAAAGATTTGAGGACTTGGAAAAGAAAAATGGGCAATAAATTCTGCTTAGAGTGGTGCGCGGGCTCTGCTCACTCGATGTAGAGTGCTACACGATGCAAAGGGAACAGCCGGCAAATCTAGTCCAAGCCTTAAATTGGAGGGGACTGGATTGGATTGAAGGCACGACTCTAGGCTAGATTAAGTTAGAGCTATTAGATCTAGTAACAAATGGGGAAGCCGCAGACCCCAATCCAGTCCAAGCCTTAAGCCGACAATATCCGAAAGTGTGCATCTGGCGGCCATGCGGCTGCCAGATGCACACTTTAGGATACTGCACTTTCCAAAGGGCAGCATGGCCATGTGGCCATGCTGCCCTTCGGTTATTTACGTGTGTGGTTGAGCGTTGTGTTTTCATTGTGTTTCCTTTCCGGAAGTGGCCTCTTCACTGACGATGTCGGCGGCGAGAAAGTGCTCGTTTAATCCGGACTGGACAAACCCAAATATTTCGGATTATGCAAGTTGGATTAAGCCCGTGCAAAATAATCCTCACAGTGTTCGATGGTCAATGCCTTGTGTTGTAATGGTCTTATATATTTAACCACCTCTACAGTGGTTAGGGAATTTCATCTGAAATTGTCAGGGAAAAAATGGAAAAGTTAGGGAATTTCAAAATAATAATTTACGAGACACCCTGCAAAGTGCTTGTGGAGGAGGGTAAAAGCAATTGTTTTCTCCCACTGTTCTTGTTTTTTATTCTGGAATTCACATGGCTACTATTGCGCTGTGCTTATTTAAGATTCTGAACAAGGAATTGTGCTGCATTTTCTGAATTTCTCATTCACAGCGGTGCAGCATCGCATTTGTCTGTACCAGCAGTCTGGTTCTCACCTTCTCTGTCCCGTGCGCAGTGCCAAGTTTGGCCGCAAGATCTCCTACATGAACCACCTGCACGACCTGAAGCAGCACCTCCACTACGACCAGCTGCAGATACCCGAACAAGTGCTCGAGTAGGTGCTCCACCCTCTCCACTTCAGGCTCGCCGAATGTCTCAGCAATCGTGCATCGATGGGGCAGGCCTGTGTGTGACGGCCCCACCTGCAAAGTAGCAAACCAGCATGCATACATAGAGACAGCAAACCCAGACTGAGCCTTCTATTACATGTAAACGTTTCAACAAACAGTTATAAAGTTCAGAAAGGCTGTCCAGCTCAAAAGATTGTCCATTCTTACGATGGAAAACAAACTCCTTCCAGCCTCTAAAATTTGTCTGTCTAGGAGGACTCACGAAAAGTTTTACATTTTCAGTTATGTGAATGTGATGTGATTCAAAACTGGGGAAATTCAGAACAAATACTGGGCTTTGAATTGGATGTGCGCTAATCAAGGAGCACTTTACCCTAACACAGGGGTGGCCAAACCGTGGCTCTTTGCTGGTCACGGTGCGGCTCGCGGATCCCTCGTAAGGGGACCCCCCCCCCCCCCCCCCTCGGCCCTTTCCGCGTTTCCTCAGGAAAATGGAAAGGATTTCAGAAAAAAGAACAACTTGCGGTTTGGCAGCCTTGTGCTCCCATACATACAGTAAAACCGCTTTTCACTCGTATGTTTCCACAGATCCTGTTTCTTTTATTGTTTGAGAGAATTTGCCGGACCCTAGGGGGAAAGGCATCAAGGGCAGGGACTGTCAAAACATGCATGCATTTTGGCTTGGGGTCGAGGAAATGTTCTGTCTTGCGGCCTTTGTCATTCGCCAGTGATACTTGTCCCCTTTAGGTAGAGTGACCAGACGTCCCGTTTTTGAGGTCCGCTTCTGCCGTCCCGTCTTTTTGCCCCAGTAAGGAACCATGGCCCGTTTTCGCAGGAGTGCATAGTTTCGAAATTGGCACCAAGTGGGTTGAAGCAAACCAAAGCTATGCCTACTCGTAACAAGTATATTTTACAAAAATACCCATAGGTACTTTAAAATATTTACGCAGAAGGTAAAATTCAGAAGTGTTCTTGGCCACAAACAATTTTTTTTCTCGAAGACGCGTGTGTAGAAATATGTTTTTGAGTTATTTTTGAGTTATCTACACTATTTTTCGAAATTTGCAAAAAAACGCATGTGGTTCCCCCCCCCCGCCCTTCCCGCTGAGGTGTCCCGTTTTCTACCTTGAGGAATATGGTCACCCTACCTTTAGGTAACGGATGTTCCCTCCATATTGTTTCTTGTTGAAGGTCGCTAAAGTCCGTCTTGACCTCATTTATAGCTTCCACTAATCACAAACGTTACGTTCAAGTTCAAAAAGGACCAGGAACATTCTCAGTGTTATTTTTACCGGCTTGCAGTTGTGACCCGCAAGCTGCTTTTTTATGCCTTCGGGGGGAGGGGAGGAGAGGACGAGGGGATAACCAGGCAGCGGTGTTAGTTTTCACTCCCCCCCCCCCCCCCCCCCCCTCCTTTTCGGCGGCTCTTAGAAGTTTCGTGGTTTCCTTTGAGGCTCTTAGGCTGGGTCAGCCTGGCCACCCCTGCCCTAACACATCTGTAAATAAGCGATGAACATGATTTTTAAAAAATTTTACGAGCAAATTTTATTTTATACGTTTTGGTATGAAACTGAATTTACTGTTTCGTTCATCATCAAACCATTTCATACGTCATCTCGTTTTCGAAGTGCTTAGTCTGATATTTGGAAAAGGAACAAAAAAAAAAATAAAAAAAGGCACCGCACACTTGAATGATGGCACACGTGCGATTCTCATCTATGTTACCGGATCGGGCTGCAGCTTGTCAACCTCGGTTAGAGAAGACTACTGTCGTGTTCCCTCGGAAAGACTGAATCTGCCCTCTTGTGTCAGGCACGACAAGAAGTTGCTGTCCAACTCCAAGGGGGCCTGGATGCCGCATTCGCAGAGTGGCGGCAGCAGCTTTTTCACCGAGAACTGGCAGCCCAGGCAACAGTTCCGGGTCACCCTACAGCAGTGAGTAACCCCACCACCTTCTCATGGTGGAAATGGCGGCGACACAGCGAGGACAAACTTCGTACGGTGCCTGGAATGCATCTCGAACTGATGCATTCCAGGCACGCTGCTGATACATCTCACGGAAGACAGTCTGAAGACACTGTTTGAGGATTGCGACATCTGACAGCGTAACACGCTGACAGGAGGCTAAGCAGACCAGTTGAACACATTGTTCCAGGTATCATAGGGCTAGGGGGTTTTGGAGGCTGTTTATAGAGAGAGTTATTGCGGCAGCTGGCATGTTCACGGTTGTTTCTTCTGCCTGACTGCAAGTTGCGAGTACAATCCCCTAGCGGCGGTAGCGAGCAAAAGGTGTGAACTCCAGTTGGGTTACTCCACCTGAACGTCACCAGTGTTCAAAGTTCTAGGCGACTGGAAAGTAGCGCACACAATGTTAGCTGTCATGGAGCGTGTTCACAAGTAAGCGAATGCTATGTTTGCCTGTCCACCTGCTATTTTAAAATGTATCCTTTTTGTGCAGTTAGGTGTCTTCCATTGGTTTGACAGGGGAAGTGGATAATCGAAAGTTTGGGTCACGATTAGTTTTCATTGTGGCTATGGGGTGAATATGCAGCTCTGGCAATTGCGCTGCTGTGGCCACTCCCTCATTCCTTCTATTGACCAAACTCTCGTTATGTATAGCTCTTGTGTGGTTCTTCTTGTAGCGCCTTAAATGGTATGTCGGCTTCAGACAGGAACTTTGGAGGTGAACAGGGTGCCTAAGAACAGCTTGGAATCTTCTTAGAATTTCAGTTAGCCTGGAAAAGACCGTGAAATTTGAAAGATTTCATTCGCAATATTGTGAGAGTCTGGCTACTTGTGAAGAGTTGATTGCATGATTTCTCGTACTCGAGTTCAGGTAAAAATGAGTCAAACCTTGCAGTAGTAGGTCGGTAATTCTCTTGGTGGGGAGTCCACAGAATGCAAACCTTGTAGCTTTGTCTTTAGGTCTTACAGGAGGTCACAGTGTGTAGAACCTCCCAAAATTTATTATTCAAATGTTTAGGCCATAGATTTACTTTTCAAGCACTAAATTTGCCTGTCACATAATGGGATGAAATTGCAATGAATTAATAATTTAGGATCTCCTCATTTCTATTTCCTCTTAAATATCTGTACCCAATTTATTTGCATATTTACCCAAATATAGGTCGACACCAAGTATAGGTCAATCCCTGTACTAGTTAGAACTTGCCCAGCTTAATGAAAATTAATATGAATATAGAGCAGTCCTAATTGTTAAAGAAGAAGGAAATTCACGCGAGCATTTATTTAACGGTGCTTCGTATCTGTCGACCTACCTTCAGACAGATATGGTATAAGAACATACTCTCGGTCTCAGTTAATTTTATTTATATTCCTAATTTTATTACTTTTTTCTCGTTGATATATTTGCGCTCTCAAAATATGAACTAGAGTAGGTATCGATACTGCTTGACTTGCCCTCGTAATTCTGGGACATGATCTGGTAGTGTCACCAAACCTTGCAAACATATTGGCGCGGCTCTTTTTGCGAGACCGGCTCCTTTATTTTTGCAGCATCAAGAAGCACAACGGAGGGGATCCAATTCCGTCCGTGGTTCGGGTCTGCGTCACATACCTCGACAACGATAATGGTAAAAACTCCCCTGCCTCCTTATTATTTTTTTTTTGTGCTTTCATTTTTATATATGGGCTAAAAATAAAAAAATAAAAAAGAAGCCAATTTGTATGTTTTGGAGGAATTGGTGGATTTGAAGTGTTCTGCTAGGAATCAAGTGCATTACTCAGGCACCCCTCTATCTGTTTCTATGTTCCAGCCCTGGAGACTGAGGGCATATTCAGGCGGTCTGCTAACACGCAGGTGGTCAAGAGCGTACAGAAGGTGTTCGACGAAGGTGAGCCCAACAGTGTAAAGCCCACTGCTGATACATCACAGGAAATACAGTCTGAAGTGTGTTTCTTCCTCATATGACGGTCACAGTGGTCACACAAAAGTCATATTTTAAGGCCACAATGCGCGAAGAATTGAAAGCAGTAGCTGTAGCCCGGTCGCGCAATGCGGGTTGAACGATGCCGTCCCATACCTGAGGACGGAGGTGCGACGTGGTTAATTTTTGTAGTGACCCTGGCAGTAAGTGGATAAGTGCGATGGAAGTTTTTAAAACCATCGAACATTACGCATAGCAACTGGATTCTGCCAAAGTGGGATTTCGCATATCGCGAGTAAGATTTGGAAACTTCTTTTTCAAGCAGACGACACGGAGATTTTCTCTTCGTTGTTACATTCTTGCTGGGATGCCAGGGCCGCCCCCTTCGTTCTCTTTGCACGACTCAGCCAACAGGAAGTCCCAACTTCCTTCTCGTCACATCAAGAGTGCAGAGAAGGGTTTTTCCATGGCGGTGACGACGGCCGTCAAGCTTTTGAAGTCTCTGCAAAGCGTTGCCCGTAAAGCTATCGCTTTGAAAATCTGCTGACATCTTCGAAGCATATTATAATGCAAACATGCTTCTAACATGTTTAAGGCATGTTGGCAAATAGTTCTGTCATTGTGTCTCCGGTGAACTCCGTGCCTTTTGTAGAATGTAGTGCGACTGCGCCTTTAGCACAATCCTTGAGCACAAACTGCTATAGAAAGAGACAAGTTGTGTGCAGCTAATGACTAGAGGCATATCTGCAAGAAAAATACATGTATCAGGTTTTACCTCCTTAACCTTGGGGCTTGATGGAATGGTAAAGTAGTATTTCAAAACAAAAAGAAATATTTTGCCTGTCGACCTGTTTTCAACTGCTTGATCAGTGGTTCTCAAATGTGAATCCGTGGACCCACTGGGGGGCAAGCCCCCCCCCCTCTTTTCTTGAAATCAAAAATTGATTTTGTAGCGTGAGCTACACTGGCCGAGGTTGAGCAGTTTCGTGTGGCTTGCATAATGAGCCGTGCTTCGTGCTGCGCATGCGCAAGGAGCAGTGACGTCACACGGTGCACAGCTGGCGCGCCGGAGCTGCCGCCACCTCGCCTGCCTCACCGGTCTGCGCATTCCAGAGGAGTGACGTCATAGCCACGGCAGACGCACTGGCGCTGCCGCGTGCCCAGCTGTGCGCCTCCATTGCGCAGTAGCCAAGTCTGACGCTGCATCAGAGCCGCTTGATAGCACCTCTTATTTTGTGCGCGTATGCTCACACTACATATATCCTGGCATAGCCGAGCTAAGCCACCGCAATTTTTTTGTTGACTCTGGCTAGGTGGCGCAAGCTATTGCCCGTTATAAACGGTACATTCATTCATTCATCCTTTTTTTGATGCTTATCGTTTCTCCTCTATAACACGAAAAGATGTCCTTTTCACATTGCAAATAGTTGTCTTATTTTATACCTCCTTTCCCGCTGGCGTAGGGCCCCCATCACTTTGACGGGTCACCCAAGGGGTCCCCCGACACATTCATGCTTGAGAACCACTGGCTTAGATGGTACTTGCTGTTCTCAATAAAAGACCCGTGCACAGAGACGTGTAACCCATTGTAATGTGTCTCGAAGGGCAAGCGCAAATTGTTTAACAGTCTTGAATGCTAAAATGGGCTCAAAAATTCCAAATTGGCAAATTGGGATGGGCGTCCCAGTTTGGCATTTGAAGGACATCCCAGTGTCCTTCATAAGCAGTGTATGTGGCAGACATGTCGCAGAAGTAGTTTGTTCTTTGCATCTGTCTTCCATAGTATTTGGTGCCGCTGCCTAATTCCAGCAAGTGGTCTTTTCTTTTTCACAGGAAAAGAGGTGGACTTCAGTGCATATGAGAATGTGCACGTGGCAGCAGTGATCCTCAAGACATTTCTCAGGGAACTGGAGGAACCACTGCTCACCTTTGACCTCTACGAAGAGGTCATGCGCTTCCAAGGTGAGTCACCTTTTCACGCGTGGCCTCAGAATACCAGTAAAAATTTATGGAAGGGTTCTGCAACATGCATGTTGTACCTTTATGCATATTAAACTGGTGCTTGTAGGCTCATGTTACGTAGTACCAGTGTGTACCAGTTGGTATATACACATAATTTTGTTATTGTTAATCACTCAGAAATGTGCACAATCTTGCTACCATTACTTGTTACTCAGACAAGAATTTATGCAGTCTTGTTACCATTGCTTTTTAGTTGCTCCAAAACAACCACAGATATGTACACAACCTTGTGGCCATTATTTGCCACTCACCCAAAGAGTAAAAAAACACACGAGTTGTGCATGCAAAAGCATGAATGTTGTTGTTCTGCTCCCTTAATTCGTCTGTGGTGTACAGGCATGGATGGCCACGTTTCACTACTCTGCCAAGGTTGCGACCGCCGACGATATAAATGCCTCGGGCAGCACCATGTCCCTCGGCGCTGAAAGAAGCAGAAGCGGCCGCAGCCCCTCACCCCCCTCCGGCAACGCCCGACGCGAGAGTGGCGGCCGAACGCGCGCTCTTGTAAAGTGGCCGCAGCCTCCCTCCCTTCTGGCAATGCCTGACACAAGAGCGGCGACCGAGCCCACACTCTCGGGAAGCGGGCACCAATGGCCATCTAGGAGCCGTGTTGCTCAGCCAATGCGAGAAGGGGCATAATTCTTTCACGCTTTTTCGCGGTTACAGACACCACCAACTTTGCTCCATGGGATGGTTAATGCTTTCGCATTAAAACATCTAGGGGGACGGTAATTATTAGTTTTATAGCTTTGAATAAAGCGGCACAAGGTTTTGTTTTGATGTGGTACAGGCTTCGCTTTCTGAAGCGACTGGAACTGTCCATTTTAAAATCACAGGCCTACCAATGAATCACTTAATTACTGTATTTGTTCAAGTAATAAGTAATAGCCACATTTCTTATGTATAAGGCCCTTGCATCTACTTTCCTGCAGAACAGATATACAGCCAATCATCGCGTTCTGCATGAAGATTACAGCGAAAAGCTTGAGGCACACATACGCATGTCTTACGAGTTGTGAATGCGAAAGCACGCAAGCCGCTCGTCTGCTCCCTTTTTAGTCTGCTGCGTATTTTTCGTCGCTGGTCAGCGCGCATGCTCCCCTGGTGACCTTGGACGCTCCGTGTTAACGGCGTGCTGATGGATCCGCAGTGCCAAGGGGTGAGCGGTCGTGGAAACTGACGAGCGTAGCAGCCAATGTGAGCCCCGTTGACGCGCGTCAGCCAATATAATTGAGGGCGAACGCAGAAACTAGGTGCCGCCTTCGCGCTTCAAACTGATGACGACAGCTCGCTCCGTGAGAATTTACTGCTTTTGCATTAAAAACCAGGTTGAGAACACAATTCTCTGTAAAAATGCAATCTGAGCGCATGGCTTTTTTGCGGGAAGAAGTTATCTCTGTCCCGTAAATCGATGCCATTTTTCTGCCGATTGCGATGATTCGCTATCCCCGTGCTCCGCGGGAAAGCAGACCCACAGGCTCTGTTCATAAACAGCGCGGCTATTACTTGAGCAAATACGGTAGTCGGAATTTATTTTATGATGCCAATGAGCCACCATGCCCGACTCTACTATCCTGTTGTTGTGCAGGGGGGCAATTTCACCGACTCTTGTAACAATCTGCGCAGAGCTGGACCAGTCCGAGAAGCTGGCACAGGCTCGAGCTCTGTTGCTCGAGAGGCTACCCGATGACAACTACGAACTGCTCAAGTACATTGTGGAGTTTCTGGCCAAGGTGAGAAGCATGTTTGGTGGATTTTCAGACTCACAAACGAACCCAGAAATGGGATTGTTTGCGAGTCTGTGGTCGGATTTTAAGTGCGTCAGCATCATAGTTGCGGCCCCAATGCAGAAGACTGTTTTGCGTCCCCATGTTATCTTTGCCCGCTTATCCGCTGGTCTCTCTCCGTAAGTTAGTGATTGGCTTTCTGCATGCCGCTACATCTGCTGGAGAGCAGATGTACAAATTTAGTAACTGGCTTGAGTTGAGCTAGTTGGTCCGTGATACTAAGATAGGGCCAGCTTGAAGTTAAGAGGGGAAAACGTGAAAGTACAGAGATCAAGAAAGAGATATCGCTGGACTATTAAGTTGGTTTCATACTTCCTCTTCACGTGCCTTGACTATCTGCTTCTCTCAGACTGAAGAAGAAAAAGGGGAAGCAGATAGTCGAGGCACATGAAGAGGAAGAAGTATGAAACCATAGTTGGTAGCACGACCTACTCTATACTTACGACCACTTCATCTGGAAACACTCCAGCATGCACCTCCCGGAGGACCAAGTTTCAGTGGCGCCTTGTGGCGGGGCCTGGAATTGGGTTTTTTTTTTTTCGTCTTTTCCGCGCTGCACCGGGTTGTGTTAACATCTATGGTGTTGGCGGTGCGCGAGCGCAGCCAGTAGCATCTAATGTTGGCTGCGCAAACTAAAACAAAAAAAACTAATTAACGAATTGGATTCCTTCAGTATGTTTTACATAGAGAAAAACATTTTGCAGCGTGAATGCGCTTGAAACCAGAAAGCGTGATCAGCTGGTACATACCCACCGGTAACAGAAGGACCCGACGAGGTAGGGGGACAGAGTATTTGTGCCGTCTAGTGTAAATTCCTGTCACTAGGTGGCTCTAAAACTCGGCCCTCAGCCGGGAGCAGGCTGCCGTGGTTGGTAGTCCAGATGCCGTGGTCGTAAGTATAGAGTTGGTCATGGTTGGTAGTCCAACGATCTCTCTTTCTCTTTTTCTATATCTGTACTTTCACGTTTTCCCCTCGCAAGTTCAAGCTGGCCCCATCTTAGTACGAATTCAGTCCATCTGCTGGAGAGTAGATGCATTGGTATATGGCATGCAAGAGCATGTACCGTATTTACTGGAGTAATAGCCACACTGTTCATAAAGAAAACCTGAGGGTTCGCTTTTTCGCGGAGCGCGCAGGTTGCCAATCACCTCGATCGACAGCATGATTCCAGGTGTACACAGGACAGAGATAACGTCTTTGTGCAAAGATACCATCTCTGAAGATTGCATTTGTATGGACAATCGTTTTCTTGATCTGGTTATTCTCTTTGTTATTTATGCACAACGCAATGATTGGCTGTATATTTGTTCTGTGGGAAAGTAGACGCGAGGGCTTTATTCTGTTACTATTACTCGAGTAAATAAGGTATATGTACAAAGCGAGTACATTTACTGTGGAGCAGGTGTACTGACACATGGCATGCCACAGTAGATGTACAAATTCAGTACATCTATGAGAGAATAAATGTATTGGCATCTGGTGTGCAAGAGTTTATGTACAAAACCAGTACACCTATTACTGAGTAGACGTACTGGCATCCTAAATAGATGTTCAAATGCAGTACATCTATTGGAGAGTAGACGTGTACTGGGAATGTGACACACGAGAGTGGATGTACAAAGCCGGTAGGTGCCGGCCATATTTATGAGATGCCTTAGTAGGTGGAAGACAGGCTCCAATCTTCTGGATCTATTTTCTTTTTCTGGTTTCCACCAGATTTTTTCAAACACTTATCATGCATTGGGTTTCCTGGTTTGTTGGTCCAAAAGGACTTTGCATTTATGTTATACCTTTGGTCTGCCCTCTGCAGGTGATTGATAGGAGTGACCTGAACAAGATGACAGCCTCCAACCTGGCCATAGTGTTTGGTCCCAACCTGCTTTGGTCGCGGGAAGAGCAGGCGTCGTTGAGTTCCATTACCCACATCAATCAGTTTGCAGAGTACATCATCAAGCAGCAGCACCTGCTCTTCTCCAAGTGAAATCCGAAGGACTCGTGACATCTCCGACGTCGCTGGAGGGAGTGAGTCTTCAGCATCATCTTCGGCAACGCAGTGCAGTCTTTAGCATGCCGGCATCGCTCCGTGGTGGCCTCAAACGCTGCATTGACACCGCAATGTTTTCCGGCACGGCCACAACGTCGTGCGGTGCTCTTAGATGCTGTCGTAGTGTTGCAGCAGCTTCCTTTGGGGCTGTCAGAATGTTGGAATATTGTGGCCTATGTCTTGCGGCATTGCCTCGAAGAGTAAGTGACGTGCGTGCATCGATGTGCAGCATTTTTGCGATGGGTCGATGCAGCATCCCAATATTTTTGCAATTTTAGTTTTGACATTGTGACATCGCACTAACATTGTTTTTTTGGGAGAACTCGAATGACCTCTGCTGTCGCCTGAACACAACGTTGACGGCCTTGTGACATTGTTGCAGTAGGTTATTAACAACGTTTGAAAAGTGCTGTTTCCAATTTGGGAGGTCGTTGTTACTTGCCTCTAATCTTGTCCGACCATTTTTTCATCATACAGTGACTTCGCACTGACTGAACAATTGTTGTGGACTCAAACTTGGTCCCAACATCACGTGAGAGTTGCATTCATTGTCGTGCATTAACAATGTCTTGAGGTCTGGACGTTGCCAATATTGTGGTTTGTCATGTCACGAACGTTGCAGACGGCATTTTGTGGGGTGGGGAGGGGTGGGGTTTTGTTAAAGCTACCTAGTTAGTACAGCTGGAATGAGGGTACCACTCACCATAACCGTCGTGAAAACGTTGGACTTAAATTGCGCATGTTGCGGAAACGAGCCACGAATGTCTCCTCAACGACCACAGTGTACAGGGTCGTCGAGATAAATCCGGAAAATTCATTATATTCAGGAAAACATACAGAGGCAAAGATAATATCAATATCAACTGTTTTCTGTGCTTTGCTCGGTCTGCCGTAACGTCTTCCTGGCCGACAGATTATCTGGACGTCTTGGCAATGCTGTAAACTTGTGTCTTCTTGTAGTCATACCACGCATTGATTTGCTTAGGCGACTTTCCGGCACGATGTGATTCAAGTATTGCTGCCCCCCGGTCATATTCCCTGCTCATTTTTGAGCAAGTCGTAAGTTGTTTATCATGCGATGATCTGCTGTCAAATCACGTCACCGCAGAAGCGCAATACGGCCGGTTAGCTTCACTGAATCGTTTAGAGACGAAACCTGGAAAAAGTCTGGGTTTATCTCGACAACCCTGCATATAGTTTAGGAAAACAAAGTGAGCGCTGGATCCAGGAAATGTTGTTGATTCTTCCGCCCTTTCCAACTCTGAAGAGTTTGGTTCACCGTGAATATGGTAACAAAACGTCCTGTTGGAACTTGTGTCTGTGTTTTGAGAGGTGGTCAAGTTTGCTTTAGGAAACAAATTGAGGACAGTTGCCACGAAGAAACGGTACAATGACAGATACTGGCTCGTGTTTAATAACTCGAGAGTGAGGTCTCTCTTAACATACACTTAACAAGCTAACCAAAAGAACTTAGGGTGCCATAGCACAATGTACGAGATTCCTTTTTCTTGGTTGCTAAATATTACTCTTTGTTAGCTTTATTTTTCTCTACCTATATTTCTTGAAGCTCAGGGATTATACTGACAGCCCAAGAAACACATAATATTGGTCCTGTCTATTTTTATCGTGTAAGCTTTATTTTCTTTCAGCATACAAGCTGTTTGCTCTCAGATTTTCCAAGATTATGAGTGAATCCCTCGTACCCAAGTCTTCCTAACCTGTTACGTAATAACCGCCGTGGGTTAGTGTAGAAGGAGCATCCAAAGAATTGATTTTAAAGGAGCACGGACCATCTTGTGCAACTGATTGCTAGTTTTAACTTTTAACCGCCCCCTCATTATCGAGTACCCAACGCATCCGTTCTCTGCAGACCGCGAGTCCGTTCACAGCCAGATCCTTCAGCACCGTCAGTTTTCTTAAATGCTGCGATTGCATTGGCATGTGCTGGCTTAAGAAAGATAAGCCTAAACGCGCTAGAAACATTGTCATTCTGCCATTCCAGTACCTAGCATTGCTAAATTTGAGAGGGCCTAAGCACTTGTTCCTTCTAGAGCTGTAATGCGGCAAAACCTTTATCTGCTGCAATGGAAGAAGTGCTTGCCTAGGCACACTGCCTCCGACGTTTGCCGGAACAAGTACTAATACTCGCAAAAGTGATGGCATATGGCAAGTTGGTCAGAAGAGTGCGACTACAAGAGCTGTACAGAAGTTCAGCATGTTCCATTGTAGATATGAAGTGTTCCAGGAAAGTCCCAAGTTTTGAGTGGGGCTGTGAATGCCACTTCCAATGTTCCGAGCCTAAACCGTAGCTCTCGCCCACCACATATCATGCAGGTCGCGACTATGCGACGAATGCACCAGTTGAATATCACTGCACCAAGTCTCGCCAACACTTCATTGGTGTAGACGCAACTCTGCTGCCCTCCAGAATCTCTCTATCTGCATTGCTGTAGCCGAGTTGACTGTTGGAAAGTTTCACCACGGATGTGAGACTCTTGTTTCTGTACTCAAAAGGAGTAAGCAAGATTTTTTGCTTCGCCATTCTCTTCAATTGAAGCAGTCGGCGACAATTCATTGTCTCCGATTTTATTTTCATTTCATCGCATTTTTGGGTGCAACTTCGTTTGCTTGAGTAACCATTCACTTCAGCTATAGAAAGCCAGGTTGAATGTGGTTTACTTTTCTGGAAGGCTATTGTGGATTTCAAAGCCAGAACCTTCAAAACAGAGACAAGCCTAAAATTTCCATGCCATCTTTATTTTGTACAAAATGTAATCTGGCAATATTTTCTTTGTTCCTTTGTTAGCTTTTCTCTTTTTTCAAATGTCTCATTTTATAGCTCACCAACGTGTGAGCACCTCCATCCTTCCTTTTAACAGCAATGCGGGCAACTCGAAATATCTATTTTCAAAATATAGCTAGGAACGAAGACTGATCAGTTGCCGGGCACAAGCGTTAATTCCGCGACGTCGTCTCTCTAGCCGTCGTTGAAAATATAACCTTTCCGAACTGTGATTGTGCTGTGCTGTACATTGACCCTGTACATAGCTTGAGAAATGTGTAAGCTCTCTAGTCAGTGTTGGGTACACAATTCCTTTTTTTTTCTTTGCCACGCCGCTTCTTTAGTTCTTGCTCTCGAAACGTGCCGAAGACGTGTCATGCCAATCAAACATAGGAAGATGGACGAGCTAGAGAACGAGAACCCATATATATTTTTTCACAAGAGTAGGGTCTATCAAACAAATTCTAGCCAGTCCATTCTAGCACTTCTCACTGTCTTAATCAATTTTCCCGAGCTTGCCCAGTTTTGTTTTAAGAATTTACGACTGTTTTTGTGCCCATTGTGATTTATCTTGATCCTATAACTAGTAGAAAAAGAAGCTTCTTCCTTTTAATCAATGCAGAGATTTTCAGGCTTGCTGAAGATCTTACAGGTGGGCCTTTAGCTTCCATATTTTGATCTAACCATATTGTCAATATTAGTTATATATTTTACTTTTTCAACGTGCGAGCAATGTTCCGTTAAAGGAGGGCCAACGTTCACATTTTATTTCCAAAAACGTTCCTCACATCCAGCTTGCGACGCACTGTCCAAAACGAGCGGTCGGGACAATGTTAATTTATGTAGCCACGTTTCCTCAAATTTATTTTTGTTCTCCGACACCGGTAACGCTGTAAAAAGAGCTGTACTATATTTACCTGTAACTTAGAAGTGTGCTGTGACGCGTGTTACGAGAACTGTCGTGCAACAGTCAAAAGCCGCCAGTACTTTCTCCTTTCGTAGCAGCTCCGACTAATCTCTGTGTACATAAGTGGAGGTTTGCACCCAGTGAAGACACATTACTGCCTCGCTTCGAAGAAACGCTCGCAATATGGCGCTGGTCACTTCGTTGTACGAGATTCGCCATGTTGGCAAATGAGTTACAAGTGCCGTCGCTCGCAAATATTAACAGATGCTGGCGCCGTGTCGAGAAAACTGAAATGCTGTGTTTGTACAGATGCGGGGATATTTACGGAAAAAATAGAATTTTGTATCGTGCCAACTGTGTCAGCGACAACCTATTGCCATGCATGTAAATAAACTTTTTGCACATAGGTGAACTCTTTGTCATAACTGTATTTTAGTGATGTGGAAAGCAACTTATATTTGGGGTCACTCCATTAAAAAAGAAATAGAAAAAAAATGGATCATGCAGATATATTGCCTATACATAGGACTCAACCACCAGTGTATTCCCGACTGCAAAATATTGCTGCGAAACATTCCAGAAAGCAGCTGTTTGGCAAACTCACAAAGTATGAAATTTACAAGTAGTATATAGTCTTCAGGTGGCCTTTACAAACCTTTCCTGGAGACATTCCAGGAGAGGGTTAATGAATATGACGCAAGAGACAGAGCTGACTTGAATCAAGTCGGATATCTTCCACAGAGGGCAGCCTAAGAGACAACATGCAACTGCAGGGTGAAAAAAATGTACAAGGTTACGTATCTCGGAACGCTCATTCTCCACCCAAATGTATTCCCAGAGGTCCGAACCAGGTGCCAAAGTTTCAGAACTAATCGTTGCCTTATTCTTAAACGATTTTCTGAAATTTTCAATGGGCAATTAGTGGCCGATGGATTTCTTTCTATTACTTTTCTAAAGTAGCTATGAAATGAAGACGTTACTTTCGTCGTTACTTTGGAATTTCCCAAAAATTAAGGCATCATTGAAATGGTACAATCTAGCCATTCCTCGCACTTTCCAAAAGACATGTTCTGACAATTTGAGTGTTACGTTTGCCTTGTGCCAACTACCCAATACATAATTTCTCACGAGTCGCAATCTGGCTATAGCAACGTGCGAATTTGATGCGAAAATCCTAGCTGTCTTTACACACTTGTTGTGGAAAAGTAACTGAAAAGTGATGCCGTCATTTTTTAAAGTTACTATAACGAGTTAATTTTTTATGGAGGTAACTGTAATGGTAACCTGGCTGCTTTTTTCTGAACATACGTATCAAACAATCTCCCAACGCTGGTACCGGATAGTTTATTATTTACAGAATAAAACATCTGGAACTGCATGGAGCAGATCTGGTCACTCCTTAGGGGGCTGTGACTCCACCTTACGCCTCTTGGGAGGGTTGTAGCAGCCCATGCCGGCGGCGGCTTCGGCCTCCTCTTGCGAGTAGGGGTCCTCTTCGAGAGCTTTCAGCCTGCACAACGTCAAAGAGAATCTCATTTAAGCACTCCCAGCGACACGCGCCATATGCTGTATAGATTCCCAAGAGGGATCTGCAAACCCCGGAAAAGAGAAGAAAGAAACAGGCGTTTGATAATTCACAGAAAAGCTCTTTACTGTTTGAGGCAACTTTTTTTAATGAAAAACATTTTTATACATTAGCCAAGAGGTCAGTTCTTGGTGACAGCAAATATTGGATCAACAAAATAGACCTAGGCAATGTTTCGGCGTTAGCGTTGTTTCTCAACAGACCGACGCTCCTCCCCCCCCCCAGTTTGCCGCCAGCCAAATGCCTACCGCCTTCTCCAAGCCCAACCCACAACCCCGTCCCGCCCCTGGGTGAGTACACACAGCAAGGTGAACAGTGTGATGCAATGGACCCGGTGAAGTCCTATTGGCCTGCGCCCGAGTAGCCTCAGCCGACAGTGTCTCTGCTGTCCAAACAATGCAACTAAAAAAAAGCTTGGCAAGCGGCCTTGCACTTTATCCGCTCGGAGCGTTTGTTTAGACATTGATCGATGCTTGCTAGAACACTGCATCAAAGATCTCTCCGCTTCAATGCCTTTGTAAAACTGTTATTTCCGTTGTTGAGGCACGAAACTGGGGACAATGACGAAGCATCGTCTAAGTAACACGTGTAGCGCAAGAGCCAAGTTCTACATCACGTGGGGCACCCAGAAACCGACTTTAAAAACAAGCATGTCTCCTATACGGAGGCATGGGAAACCGGGCCTGCGACTGGCTGCCATTAGCTGCATATCGAGGAGCCATCTGGTGGCGCCACTGGCAATCAAGGCGAGGAGAGGACTTTATCTGGCAGGTGGAACATGCACTGTGTTTACACCTATAGATGTCTCGCACCGTGGTCCAAGACCAAGAAAGGATGATGCAAAAGGGGAAAGAGACTGAGCCAATGTTATGCCTTGTGGAAGCTCAGGTCTGTGCATTAGCTTTTAAAGACAGGAAAATAAAAATGCCAATTTCATTACAAACTACTAAAATGATAGACAAAATGATAGACAAAATTAGATTCTGCTGAATTTCAAAGTTTCCAGCGATTTAACAGGGGACAATTGAAAATCATGCATAAAGTGAAGCCGTGCTCGGATGGCACCGATGCATTGGCAACAGGCTTAGTGCGGAGTGCAAAATGTATTTGCTACCCTTACATATCTCTGAAGAAAGGAGTGCCAGAAACGGGAAACCCTACTCGTGATTGATGTTGGTCGATTTTATTACATGGGCAATATCCTTTGCTTGCAAGCACAATACGCTGACAAAGATTTTTTTTTTTAAATGCGAGGCAAAGATGATATTCAGCAGAACGTACCGTCTTTTGTGGTTCTTGCTCTTGAGGTGATCGTTGAGCGAGTTCTTGTCGATAAAGTACCTACTGTGAAACAATAGAAAGCAAAATAAGCACTTTACAATCCCACACAATTGTGGAGACGTCCTGACAATTACATTAACGGAGCACAGAACAACACAGCTGGAATAAGAGTTAAAAAACAAAAGTGACGGCATTCTCTGTCTAGAAGGGGGGGTTGGGCCATTTTAAGTCATAGTTGTAAATTATAATTATGCATTGCAGCTTTGTACAACTGTGAATAGAACCATGTTGTGTAGACTGTGATTACCGGCATTTATTCCCGACGGGCAGTTTTGAATTGTTCCTGTCTTTCTTTTTGGATTCTCTTCTGTCCTGGGTGGCCAGTTAACAGGCATACAAGATTATGGGTTCTGTTTTAGCCTCGCAAGCCGCCCGAGGTAACATTCCTTCTGCAGATATAGACCATTGACACCACTCATGATTCGGCATAACCACTGCCTCCTGTACGGTGTAACTAGGCTCCCTTGTCATCGGAGGGATCTGAAAAACTTCAGAAAGTACCTGCCAGTAAACTTTTCGTCAATTTGGATTTATTTGTTTATTTTATTTATTTATTACTGCCAGCCATCAACTGGCCAAGGCAGGAGTGGGTACATCAGGAAAAAAGAGCACATATTCAAAATATGCACATATGGCAATAACACACAAAATATGAGGACATCATTCTCTCAGACACAGATGCGCTTCAACTATTTACAATTCTTTCTGGCAAACTATTTCAGTCGTCTATAGATTTCACAAAGAACGAAAATCAGAAGTGTACAGATAAGGATCAATATGCCTGTTATGCTCATGTCGAATATTTCTCGGAATTGAGAATTGTGCTTATTTTTGTTTGTCCATTTTCTGGCAATCGTTAACAATTGAAAATAATGCTTTAAGTCTATTCATTTTCATATGCAATATTGATTCAATATCAAACTCCAAATTTAAATATACAAATGCCTGAAAAAAGAAGAAAAAAAGATGGCATTTTAAGTTTGTCCAGTGCACAGGGTCAATAGTCCCGAGAAAATGCCACCCCAGTTTTCTTTCAAATCTCGGACCATTGACAAAAGGGATCTTACTGCTTACATCATCAAGGTTCATTCAGAACAACAGGTCATTGTACTTTTGGGTCATGACAGAGGCCACTTTTGCAGTTTCCAGTATGGGCCATACTATTTGTGCTTTTTAGAGAAAGGAATCAGTGCTTGCAATGTTTTTGTAACACTGAAAGCTACGAACCTTTGAAATTTCATAGAAGGGGGAAGAGGGGGTGGGCAGCAGAAGCTTCTATATTATACCCTTTACTTTTCCACCCCACCCAGCCATGGGAGGGGTAGTCTGATGGAATAGGATGGGATGAATAAGAGCTTCCCAGCAACTACCTGCAGGAGTTTATTGATTTTAAGGTATCGACATTTATCCCAGCAACGCTTGTTTGCAGCTTTTGTCAAGGAACAAAGTAGTATTGCCAATGGCAATGGCACAATGCCAAATCCAGCTGAAGAAGTATTAATTGATACAAGCGAATTGTCTTGAATCTAGCATATGTTAACACCCAGATATTACTGATTTTTATTTTTAAGAAATAAAAAAAAAAAATTCGAAAAATTGGGAATCAAACTCCGGATTTTCGGCAAAAAATAAGCTACAAAAAATACCCTCAGAATTTTACAAAACATTTTAACACACAAGTCTCATGACATACAGAAACATTTCTTTTCTTGTAGTACTTGCTTTAAAGGGAAGCTGAAGAACTTTCTAAGAAATCTGAGTTAGAAGCGGACTTTTTTAGCTTTTTGTTCCGTGGATTCGGTAATCACAGTTACCTTTGGCAGAAGTAAATGTAAACCACATTAATATTAAGAAATATGTACAGTGATTGCCCCGGGGATTCGGTAATCCTCTCTGCTGCCCGCTACCTGTCCAGTGCATCACAACGTCATTGACAGCACCCTCGAGCCAGCTTAGTGGCGAGCAATGTTACTAGATTACCTCAGTTGTGGAACTTGCCTCAGTTGTTGAACAAAAATGAGCACCCCCCCCCCCCCCCCCCCCAATCACTCACTTCAGTCCGCCTCCCATCGTTTGAAAAGTCATCTACGTCTGCATTCCAAAACTGTGTGTTCCACAGAGTATGGTAGAATGCCATCTAGACACTGTGCTTGGAAACATACATATTCCATAGAATACACTGCAGTTACCATACTAGCCTTCCGGCACATCGAACGACGGGAGGCGAAACCGGGGTGAGGGGGGCAAGCAGCGTAACTGAGGTAGTCATGGGTAAGTTACTTTTAAAAAGTAATTCGTTACAGTTACTTTCAGAAAAAAGTAGCGAAGTTACCGTTACAGTTACCGCAACAAAAGAGTAACTCGTTACAGTTACAGTTACTTTTAAAAAGTAACGACGTTACTTTTCAGTAACTTTTCTATAACACACAAAAAAAATGAGAAGAACTAGAAAACGCCCTTCACAACGTTTGTTGCATAAAATTAAAAAGTACGCTTTTTACTTCATATTGTAGCTTAGTAGCTTTTGCTTCTTGAAGTTAGTGTTTGAAAGTTTCTACGCCAGAGTAGTGGCGCAAATCAAAATACGAAACATGCACAGTGCGGAGTAGTGGAGCTAATCAAAATACGAGACATGTGCAGTGCCCTTCACGTGTATTGTTTTTTTTTTACGGTTGATTCACCCGATTAAAAAGCGTTTGCACAGAAAAAAGAAAAACCACAACATAGGTAGTGCTTCAAGACACTAATGTGTAAGTGTTCAGGCACAAAGTACAAGCGCGTGCGTAAAGATAACTAGATATTTTTTCATTAAATCTACACGTGGCTATATTCGGGTCGTGACTCGCGAGAAAGAACGTATTCACAACTTTGTGCAAGGCCAACTTGACACTCGAAATGTCGAAATAGACGATTTGGAAAGTGCTAGGAATGGCTAAATTGCACCTCGTTCAGTGATATATTATTCATAAAACACTGGAAAGTAACGACAAAAGTAATGTCGTTACTTTCATCGTTACCTCAGGAAAAAGTAATAGAACTACAGTTACAAGTTACCTTTTCAAAAAGTAACTCGTTACAGTTACAAGTTACCAAAAAAGTAACGAAGTTACAGGAACGCGTTACTAGTAACGCGTTACTACCCAAGACTGAACTGAGGTAATCAACGTTGATGGAGAGTAAGGGACATCTGACACCGCTGATGACGTCACTTTTGCTAGTTTTTCTCTTTACTATCCTGCTTTTCTATTATTAGGTGCCTTAATTACAACTTTTACTGTTTGGTCGAATTCAAGGAGCTCTTCAGCATCCTTCCAAGCTATTTTCTTAACCGCAAAAAGAAAAAAAAAAAAAAAATCTTGGTGGCTGTTCCGTTTGTGCAAGCTGCTGCGTTCTGCACAAGCTTTGATTGCACCGTCAGCGGTTTTCTCATACACGTACACGCGTGTGGACTGATCATTTCAGATCTTGATGAACTGGGAACCGTTCTATACTCATTAATGCTAGTAAATCGGGTCTGCATCAATGACTAAGTGTGTGTGTGTGTGTGTGTGTTTGTTCTTATTTATTTATTTTTGGGGTATGTAGGGTCAGTTCTGCGGGCACACATGTTGCATGAGCCCCCGCCTTTCCGCAGAACTCGCACGCTTTCCATACTCCTCTTCTTTTTAAGTGCAATAAAGTATGAAGTATGAAGAAGTATAAAGTATCTTACGAGCAATGGAGGCAGTAGAACTGCGCATCGCCGGGGAGGTCGTAGTCGACCTCTTGGTTCAGGAGCTTTTCGGCGTTGTCCGGCACCATGTCGACGTGAATCTGGTCAAGATCCTTGGCTCTGTGCTTAGTCTTGTCCTTCTTGTGCGACGCTGTGTACCCCTTGTGCGTCTTTTTGCGAGAATAACGCGTCATTTTCACGAGGACCGAAAAACACGCGTGCTATCACCACCTTTGCTCAAACTGGAAAGGCGGCCGCCATATTGAATCCCAGTGTTGCCACCATACGTGCTGGTAGAGGCACGGGTGCGAGCGCGCCATTTTTGAAAGCGCCTTTTGCAAGTGCTTGTACAAACAACACGTTCTGCAAAACCACGCCTTTACGCGCGCGCGCCTTTGCCAGCAGTGAAGCGCCGAAGACATATTGTAAGATAAACTAGAACCACTAAATAAGCTACGCAAAATATACAATTGCAGCACGTTACTCCAACCATGTTGTTCGCATTTCAACGTAACTGAGGGAAAACATAGTTATGAAATTTGAACTGAAAGTGAAATAAGAAAAACAAAACACTGTGTTTTGTTTCTAATTTGCCTCATGTACAGGTTTCCCCCCCCCCCCCCCCCCCCCCAGGGGCCCAAACACACACACACACAAGTTTTTTTGTGTTTTTTTTTTCTTTGCAAAATAAACTACGTTTTGCCGAACGCTCATCGGTTCTAACCAGATGCAAAAGTTTCAGAATGAAGCGTTTTCTTCTTTAGAAATTGGAAGCGATTTTATGTGAACGGATTATCTATTAGTTTTCACTTTCTCGAACCACAGACTCGTTGTCAAACGATCGCCGCTTCAACTTGCCAAGCCAGGTTGCTGTCGCTCGCGCAGCATCAAAAAGACGGTTTTCTGGAGACTGGTCAATCTTCATCAATTATTCGGCTTAATAACACGTACCCTCCCACGAACAGCCCATGCGAGCCTCCAAGATTCTCAAGTCAGAGACGTGGCGCCAACAACGACTACTACTCGCAGATTTTCTACGGGCCCAATGTGCCAACCGGAAGAATTTTATGAATCAACTTACAGTAGCGAGACACTCTACGGAAATAATTTGGAAATATCGGTTACCCCCAATTCATCATGCAAGGCAAGACAAGGATAACCCAGAAGGTGGCCTCTCCAGGTCATCGAAGATGTCTCACACAAGACCAGGAAAGTGCTCGAACAAAGTCCGAAGTATGCCTTACCACCAAGGCGTGTGCCGTGTATCACGTGCGTGTCTGCCGTGTATAGCGAACGCGACTATTCGAGCCGTAACAACGGCGGATGCAACCCGAGAAACTTGGAGGGGAAAGTCGAGCCACGGAGAACCACGGAACGCATGGAAACCACAGACCGGGCGCAGTCACAGACCATGCAGACAAGACGCTTCTTATAACACCAACCAATTGTATCCTAAACAGTGTAATAAATATATCCTTGCATTATCCCATATTAACCGGCACATCAGGGTTGCCCTAGTTCAGAAGATCACATCTAAAACTTATGATGAAAAGCGCCTCGCGGATAATCAGTGAAGGAATTGACTGATTTACAAGCTACCGAGCCCAAATCAACCAGGTATGAGTTTTAGCTCCACAATCCAGGAGCTGCGAAGAAAGCATATAAAACCCTATCAAATAAAAAGGTGGTTTTGTAGTCCTCACTCCTCACTCCAGGAACATACGGAGAAAAGGCCTTTCAGGCCGTGGCAAAAACGAAAAAAAAGGAAAAAGGAAACTTTATCTAGGTTTATATTAATAATACAAAAAAAGAAAAAAAGAACGAGGCAGAAGCCCAGAACAAGCCGTCATTAGAAGTATTTTTCTCAGCCAGGGGCGGATCCAGAACTCCGTTTGGGGGGGGGGGGGGGGGGGGGGGGGGGGGATTTTTAAGGATACTATTCTCCCATTCTTTTTTAAAGGGCAACTCCGCTCAATTCCGAAAAATTTAGGCTTCCATGTGATTCACATTCACAAAGCACTACTAAACAACTCTACGTCTTCGGATTCGCGAAATGTGGAATATTATTTGTGTAATCCTAATTTAAACATCAGCAGATACTGAAACCGAAACTTCGGTTGCGTCAGGCAACATTGGTCTCGGGTCGTCAGAGTCATGGCACGTCACGTTGAACCACGTGGTCTTGTGACGTTCGGGAGGAAACGAGAAACCGAGCGAGGTTTTTTTTTTTATTTTATTGGACGCGGGCAGGTCGCTTCGCATGGCGCGGACGGTGATGGCCCGGGGGAGGGGGGAAGGGGAGAAGACGAAAGAGGAGAAAAGGAGCGGAGAAGCAGACCGATAAGCGCGCAGGGCAGCGCATCCCAGGCGCATCCGTGTTACGGTGATCACGTGAACGCCCGGTCAGCCAACACCGGGAGGAGAAACTCATGACGTCTTCGTTCAATTTCGCTCTGAGAAGTAAAAACAAACAAAACGTGAGAATGACGTATGCATGCCTCTGACGTAGTGGCTCAACGTTGGCCGCTCCATCTCCGTGGCATTAGGGAGTTTTCGTAGATCGTTTTCGCCGTCCCGCAAGGCCCTCCGCAACCCGCTACGATAGCGGGAACTCCACAGTCAAGGCTATAGGCGCGCAGGCGCAGTAGCAACTTTTTCGTTGCGGAACGCTTAGCGGAGGGGGCAACGCGGTCTACGAAAACTTCCTATTGACTGCGCTGGTGATTGCGCCTCGCGCCGCACGCTAGAGTTGGCAGATTTCGGCGACTTGGCTCGCTTGAAGGTTTGCTGGCCAGTTTATTAAATATATAGACGGAATTAGATCGTAATATTTGACATGGGGTCTTCTTATATGATACTGAAAAGGGCTACATAGTTTTCTAAATATCAAAAATGAAGCGGAGTTGCCCTTTAAGCAAGCGGGGTCCACCCATGTCGAATTGAGGGGGAGGGAGGGGGGTCGACTTTGTTTGGGGGGGGGGAGGGCGGCCGCCCCCCCCCCCCCCCCACCCCCCCCCCTTCTTTGGATCCGCCACTGTTCTCAGCTAAGGTATTCAAGGAGGGCATACCGTTCCGGGCCATTGTGTCAGAAAAAGGAATATGACAAGTACATCTGTCGACCTTCTTGGCTAGGCAGATGTCTCTAGTACGGTGCAATGATCCGTACAATATTCGAAATTCGGAACAACAAATCTCATAAAAAAAAACAAAAAAAACGTGTAAACGTGGCTTTTCCGTTGACATCTAAGATATGTATTGTAACTTTTTGTTCTATTAGCGATGTGCTCGGCCAAAAGCATCGCTGCGGTCAGCTTTCCACGATTGGCCAAACCATAGGCATATGAGCATTGTCAGATTGTCAACTTTGACGGTGTTAGTTTCGGAATGCGATCGCTCCCAGTTTCCACTGTGCTTTTTAAACACACCACCGAACTCGTCGTCGCACCTGATGTTTAGTAGCCAGGATAACAACTGGTGACGTCACGGCGAGGCAAATCCCAGACGTGAAGTCACGGATGGAAACCATAAGAGGGCGCCACCGAAACATCTTGGCGCTAATACCCCATGCAAGCCTCATGTTGATTCTCCAACAAAACATGGAAGAGCAGAGCAGCACATTGCTCCGAAACGCGGCGATTATAAACTTGGATACCTTTAACAAACAAAAAAATGAAAGCCGTTTACGATAATCTATCCACACGAAGGAGAACTCCACGGACGGATGTCGTGACGTCAGCAACCCGGAAAACTCCGTCCCCGGCTCCGCCGCGTGCACCTGCGGAGCTTTCGTGCTTACAGCACGAAGTCTCCGCGCCTCCGCCACGGAGGAGAACGGGAGAACGGCGCCGCGAGGCGTCAAAAAGAGATGACGTATGTCTCACATGATGCGCGCTCCGCGGAGGAAAGGAGCAGATTTCTCCTTCGTGTGGATACCCCATTAGAGCGCAGCTCTTGAGGAGGAGGATGGAAGCGTACTGAAAGATAGGCGACTTCTTGAGGTCACGTGACCTCAGGCGGGGGTCGTGTGACGGCAGGGAGCTCACGTGACTTCAGGGGGTCACGTGACCTGAGGGGGGTCACGCGACCTCGAGGGGGGGGCAGTCACGCGACCACAGGGGGGTTACGCGACCACAGGGGGGTCACTTGACCACAGGGGGGTCACGTGACCACCGGGGGGTCACGTGACCAGGGGGGTCATGTGACCTCGCGGTTACGTCGACGGCGACGCCGCTCAAGCCGGAAACGGGCCCCTAAGAGCTGCGCTCTAAAAAAAATTGAGTTTGCGGGTGAGTTGGTGATAACCATAATGTAACAGCCGAGGCTGTGATGCGGGAAAGTTTAAACTTTCATGTCGAAGGAAAAGACAACAATAGGAAAACCCTTTCCTTCGACTTGAGACTTGAAACCCGAGTTGAAGGAAAATTAATGTCATTAATGCCCACTGCCCTGGGGCATGAGCTGGTACACGTGCCATGGCCTCCGAGATCCCAAAGCGCGCGCGGAGAAGCGTTCGCGCGCTTCGGAATCTCGGAGGCTACGTACGCGCATTCAAAGTTCGCAACGTCGCCATGGGATGGCGCCACAGCCCCACTGGCTGTGGTAACGGCAAGGAGGATAGAAGGGTAGGAGAGGGCATGACGTCGGCCGCGTAGCCTCCACAAGCCATGCTCCTTGACGCCTCGCCTCTATCTCATTTTCCTCCTTACTCTCCTCACTTACCATGCCAACGTGACCACATCACGTGACCGTAGCTAGCCTTGGTCTTGCTATGGGGTACTAGAATACACCACAGTCAAGCCTTCGATCTGATAAAACCTACCGGACGGAGCGCGCGCAAGCCTGCAAGGAGTCCTTCTACAATCAACCATCCATCTCACACGTGACATGTCACGCGCACCAATCGCCAGAGAGATCTGCGGTCGCGCTGGGCACAAAATCGTTTAAAGTTTTTATGACTAGGCTTCACCAATATTGCAACCTGCCCTCTCCTAAAACTTCTAACCTCCTTGGGTAACGGGCTATTAAACACCTTCTGCAAGCGACGACAGATGGCGGCGCGGTGCGACGCATAACAGACGCTGAACAACGGAGGCTGCACCGAGTCGGCTGGAGCCAACGTTATTAGATTACCTCAGTTGTGGAACTCCCGCGGAGGGGGGTACCCCAGCGCGAAACACATGTACGACGAAACCGTCCGATCCGACGTGCGGACTGCCGGAATGACCTTGGGGGGAGAGAGTTTTCGTAGCATCGGAGAGCGTTGAAAA